ATTATAATTGATATATTTGTTCAGAAATACTTTTAAATATCTGAAAGTTAGTATTTTCTAGTGTTATAAATTTTAAATTTACATGATTTACTATACAACGACTAAGCCACAGCACCACCTATGTTACCTTAGGGCCTATTGGAGAGAGACAACCTTCACTTAGTTGATTGACTTATAAACCACCATAGATAAATAAACATGATAAAGTTTTAATTCTCTTTTTAAGACACATGATTATTTTACTATTGAAGATTTAGTAGGATCTTTTACTCAAACTTGAGTGATATGATGTTCATGAAAATTTCTTCATTCAACATTAGTATTGCCTGGTTTTCAATCAATCTTTTTTATACTCCAACATATTGTTGTCATATGAACATTAGAAAATAGTTATATGAGTTTGAAAATCTTCCCATTGGTCAATTGGCATATCAATGAGCTTTAGTTGCTTTCTAGTACCAAACATTTTACTTTTGAGTTTTTTGTTTGTGCTATATCACATAGATGTTCGTAAATAATCAATGAATATTTTCTATTTTGAGGTCTTGATCAAAGGTGGTTGTTTGGCTCTTCATCTAGTATTCATGCTTCCACCTTTGGTCATATTTCATTTCAAATCTTTCTACCCTTAGGCAAGTTATTTTTTATAATGTGTATGGAGGTCCTAAATTGATCAACATACATATTTTTTCTTCAAGGTTGAGTTGACATATGATTGTTGAGTTTGTAGTTTTCTCCATGTACTCTACTAACATGTTACTATCCAAGGTGTATGAGACTGACCTTGAGTTCTTTTTTACTTTCAAATGTGTAGGTTTTACACAAATGATCTTCAAAACTTCTTTTTGAAGATTAATGACACTTCAGATAATCTTGTTTTTGAATTGAGTTGAAGTTAGTCATTTTTCTTTGTCATTTTCTCAATATAAATTATGATGTGCCACAATGTAGGTTATGTGGTGAAGACTACTCCACTTCCTTAATAGTTTTGCATGAGTGGTTCAACTCAGTTGCCATATAGGACCAAAAACTGATCCTACTTTAGTCACTAAAGGTGTGATTTTACTTCGAATATTTCATTAGCATTTCATTGTATTGCTATAGTAATCTCGATTTCACATTATGTCTATAGTTTGACTATATGATGTTCCAATATTTTGGTCATTATTTTTTTATCTTTATGTAGCTTGCTTCTTAAGTTCAAATCTTATGTCTCACATTATAGGTTTTTGATATTTCAAATATTTTAGCACTCAAATCTCCTATCTCCATAGTATTCAAGTGTTTCATTCAAATTCTACATATAACTTTACTTTTGAAAATATAAGTGAAACTTTCTCACATGTGTTGACACATTATTCTATATTTATATTTCAAGAATATTATAATTTAATATTTCAATATAAAAAGATACCTCAAAGGTATAACTCATTGTATTTGTTACTATCCATATGATTATGTTGAGTATCATTAGTATGCATGATTTGAATGATTGTCAAGAATATTTAACTTGTAATTTAGTTAGTCATGATGTATGTTGATAATTCAATGGATATTAAATAAATCATTCAAAAATAATTTTTATATAAATTTTATAATCTGTTTTAAAACTAAGGACATCTAAACCTTCTTTAGCTAAATCATATCAATATTCAATAGTCAAAATATGTCTATGAGCACAAATTTATGATCGTAGTTATTGTCCTATTAAAGTAGAGGCATTACCCCAATTGAAAGTTCATCATCTACATGGATCAAAGGAGTTTTAAATTCCAAGTAGAGTAGAGTGATGTAGCTTAAGACAGAAGTTAGAGGCCCAACTTTGAATTTAAGTTAAATTATTCTGAATTTGAGCCATAAAGTGAATAGTATTGAAAAAGGGCCTGAATAAGTCACCAGTGACATGGAGCTTATTTAAGGTCTATATTAAGTAGAATAGAATCACAAACAACCTGAAAATCCATTTAAGTTGGAGTTAGCTTAATTATGAAATTAGGCCTTGACTGGATATTAATTGTCATGTTTTAATGCATCTAAATTTACAATATTTACAGCTAAATCTTCTAAATGAATTTTAGTATTGGTATAAGTTAAGTTAATCTGTAGGGGTGATGATAATTAGTTTTAAATATTCTTAATTTTCTAACAATGAGGATTATTCAACATAAAAGAATAAAAATGAAATGAGATGAGGTGAGTGGTGAAAACTTCTCTTTGTTACTTACTAGCCTCCTTTATCAATTAATTTCATATGTTTATTTCTCTTAATATCTAGAAATAAGATGGAGGGTTTTAATGATGAGATGATACAATCACGAATATAAAAAAATAGTTTAGAAACTATGATGTGGAAAGATGAGAAGAGTGATTATCAATAGAATAAATTTATTGACTTGAAGAAAGTTTTGAAATATTGATGAAAATAAGATTTGAAATAAATAAACTATAGAGCTACCATGGTTGTCAATCAAGGATAAATTGAAAAGAGTAAACTATTTGTCACATAGTAGAGTCCTTAGAAAGCTATTAGTTAAAATCATAAAAGTTTGAATGGAAATATTTTCCTTTCCCTATCTTTCACCCAAAGGACAAGAAAAGAGATTACAGTAAATTATAATTTAAATTTAATTAAATTCGAAATGATGATAACTTTTAATGAAAGTTAAAGCTCTCTCATTTTCTTAGCTATCACCTAAGGAAATGAGATGAATGAAATTCTTAGATTGAATAAATTCAAGAAAAGTTCCCCTTGTTCAATGTATGTCACCCAAAGAACATAAAAGAAATAAAATAACATAAAAAATTAAATTAAAATTGCAAAGAACTTTGTTGAACACATATGCCTTTGGTCTTGCCACTTGCCTTGCACTTCAACTTTCTTCCATGCCTTTAGTCTCTCCACCAATCAACCAACTTCTTTTCTCTCCTCCCTTCTTTCTTCACCTCTCTTGAATGATCCCCCCCCCCCCCCCTCCTTCAAGATTACAGTTCATAATAGCCTCTTATTTTAGTGGATCTTCCTTATAACTCTCCACTTGCTCTTTTGACTCTTCAGTAATGAGTTTTTCAATGTCTTGAATGAAGTCTCTTTTTGTGCTTGAGTACTTCTCATAGAGTTAGAAGCAGCTCGTGAAAATGAGTTTTTTATTTGTTCCTAAAATTCATATAATTCTTCTCAAGACTTTTAGGACGTAGTAAATATAATAAAACTCAAATAAGATATATTTTAAAAATTTTATGTTTTTATTTTAGAGCAAAGATTGTGTTTCCATCGAATATCAACTCATGCATTCATGTATGTGTTTATTCATGAGTGGATTCTACTTAGACAACTTGAAAAAATTATCAAATATTAATAAAAGTTTATATATCACATTTTTCACCAAATTTATATCATTTTCATGAGAATCATGCGACATTCTATTATTTTTGCCACTGCATATGAAAAAAGAACATTATAATGCCTATAAAAAAACACATTTTAGGACGTCCATATTTAGATTTTCTCATTTCATATTTCTATTTTTACCCCCTTTTATTTTTAGTCCTTGTTATTTGTATTCCCCTTATATCTTTTTATATATTTTTTAATCCTCTATTTATTTTTAGTTCATTTATATTTTTGAAATCTTACTATTTTCATTGCCCCTTCTATTCTTATTCTCCTTTTATTTATATTTTTAAATTTCATTTGAAACTCAAATTTAGGTAACAAATCAAAGAACTTGGCCTATTTAAAGGTACCCCATATAACCCAAGAGGTATTAAAATTTTCAATCAATAAATTTTGTGAATTTTTTCTCTCTAGAGTATTGTCTGTCTATTGTTGGACAACCTGCAGATTTAGGACGATAAAACACTGACATAATCATATTTTTTTGAGTATTTACGATGTGATTTAAATCTTTATAACATTAGAGTTGTTCACAATTAACCTAAGTCTTTTGCCTTACAAGTTTCATTGCATCATAGAGACAAGTGCTGCTTGAGTATTAATGATGAGTTTCAGAGATCATGACCTTTGACTTTAAAATCCATTTTAAAGCAAACCAAAGTTACTTGCTCACAACTACTTGACCTCAAGCTAATTGCCACCAAAAATCAAGCCGAACCTTGTTTGAGGATAGTAATGATAGAAGTCTAACTTGATATGTTTAAGCTTCTAAATGTTTCTTACCACCAAGGCCTCATCCTCTAATGCAAGCTCCATGATTTGGCCATCAGTGTCCACTCTAACTTCCTATATACTTACAAGAGAATTAGTTGGAACATATATTAAAGTGGCATGAAGAAGACAATCTATAGCTAGATTTGAGATTACCCAACTTGTCCAAGGAACAAGATGAAATCTTTATTGTCAATTGGCTAAACTTCAATTAATCAACGTTCTTGAGATAGTATTGGAGGAAATTTTCATGAACTTCATAGAAGGGCTGCTGAAGTCTGAAGGGTTCAAAATGATCTTGGTCACTAATGACCATCTCAGCAAGTATGCATACTTCTCTTTACTCAAACATCAATTCTTAACTCCATATGTGGTGCTTATGTTTCTCAAGGATATTGTTCGCCTCCGCAACTTTCCTGCATCCATCCTCAATCACCAAGATAGAATCTTTATAAGCCTCTTTTGGCATGAATTGTTCAAGTGCCAAGGAACCCAAATCCATCTCAATAGTGCATACCTTCCTCAGATTGATGAATAGATGGAAGTAGTCAAGCATGGGTTGAAAACTTACGTCTTGCATTTTGCTTGTGATAAACCTCAACAATGGAGCAAATGGCTTAGCTAGGTAGAACTTTGGTATAACACAAACTTCAATTCATCCATTAGACTCTCCTCCTTCAAAGTCATCTACAAATGGGACCCCAAGCTCTATTTTTCTATGACAAATCTCAAACTATAGTAGAAGTGATGAATCATCTCCTCTAGAAATGGGGCATGGTGCCCAATTAATTGAAGAGTCACTTGAAGCAAGCCCAAGCTAGTATGAAAGCTTACACTAATAAGAACGGCAAAGAAGTCTAGTTTGTAGTGGGTGATATAGTATTCCTATGATTGTGGTTAAATTCATGAGGACATAGGCCAAATGAGAAGCTTTCCCCTTACTATTTTGGTGCTTTAACATTTCAAAGCACATTAGTCATGCTGCCTATTGCTTGGAGATGTCCACCTTTGTGAGTTTCCATCCGATGTGTCATCGAGAGCTCTCTTTTGCATCACAGCCCTACCATTACATATGGATGTGGACACCACTTGGATAGTCACCTCAAAAGACATCTTTCATATTCAATAACAGTCCTATAGGTTAGAGGTTTTGATTCAATGGGAAGGTATGTTAGATTCAAAAATAACTTGAGAGGATGACACAAAGGTCTGCCAATAATTTCTCATTTTTCCCTTTGAAGACAAGGTAATTCTCTTAGAGGAGAGTATTGATATAATCCTCCCATTAGTCAATTGAACAAGGGGCATCACTCCATGAGACAAGGAAAGGAGAAGAATGCAAAGGCCATCAACATAAAGAAAGCCACAATGCTTATTATAGAAGAAATTTAAAAGAATTAGAAAGGTGAAATTTTAGGAATTACATATAAGGCCATTGGTAGCAACTTACAAGTAGTAGAGGGGGAAGAGGGAAGTAGGAAGCACCTTAGCATGAGGCCAATCCTCTCAAAGTGATCACCTTAGTTCCTTAAATACTATGTTGAGAATTACACTGTCAATTTTGTTGGAGTCTTTTTCTTTATTCCCCTTCACTTTTCTTATTGTAGTTGGTTTTGGTTCTTGAGTGCACTCAGCATTGATAGTTGTAATGAAATAAAAGAATCCCCCTTTATTTTCTATTCGATGGTCTTCACTCTCTTCTTTGCGAGATCTCTCTCTAACTTTATTTCACCACCCAAGTATAGGGTCCCATATGAAGAGATTCAAAAATAGAGAGGAGATAAATTAGAGGAAGGAGAGAAAAGCCCACCCTCCAAAGCCTTAGATTGTTCCCCCCTTATATATTGGGAAGACAATTATTATTAGTAATTCCGATATCTTGAATTGCAGGCAGTTATGTAGAGGCAGTTATGGTCAAAGTTGACTGCTTGGAGCTGTTGTTATTGGAGGATGCCTCAACATCCCCCTACAAGCAAAGCGCTAGTACAACGTTGAGTTTGGACTAAAGAAGAAGAAACTAAGATTTGGGCAAAGGTTTGGTGAGGAGATCTGCCAATTGATCTTGACTAGAGACAAAGTTGATGTGCAATTGCCACAAGGAGACTTGTTCACAAACAAAGTGAAAATCTACTTTGATATATTTTATCCATGCGTGAAAGATAGGGTTAGCTGCCAGATATATTGCCCCAATGTTGTCACATCAGATTGTAGGTGGTGAAGTGATGATTCTTGGTTTTCAAAGAAGGGATCGCAGGCAAATAAGTTTGGCTGGAGCGTTGGCCAGAGCCTTATATTCTACTTCAGTGCTGAATTGTGCCACCATTGATTGTTTCTTCGAGCTCTAGGATATGAGATTAGGTCCAATATAGACAGTGGAACCACTAGTAAAAGAACAATGAAGTTTCTATCTTAGATCCCAAGAAACCAAGTTTGATGAGATATGTGGTGAATTTATGAAACCATTCTCTCGGGGCCTGCTTCAGGCCATAGAGTGATTTTCAGAGTTGACATACATAGTTTGAGAATTGAGGACATTTAAAGCCTTGGGGTTGCTCCATATAGATCAATTCAGTGAGGTCTCTCTAGAGAAATGCATTTGATATGTCCAATTGGCAAAATGAACCAATTGCAGCTGACGACAATAGAGAGAAGAAGATGTATGATTGCAACTTTGATCACAGGGCTGAAGGTTTCATGAAAATCAATTCCCGCCTATTGATAAAATCCTTTAACAATAAACCATGCTTTGTAGTGATCAATATTGCCATCAAGTTTGAATTTCTATTGAAATATCCACTTGTAGCCAATGATAGGGTGTGAAGTTGGTCGAGGGACAAGAAATCATATTCTATTTTGAATTAGAGCATGAAATTCTTGATGCATAGCAGCAACCCAATTTAAATCACAGAGGGCTTGAGAAAGGGAGTGTGGTTCGCATAAAGAGGTAGCTGCAAGACATGTGGGTATAAGATGTGTGTGACTGAGGTTAGTTGTCAAGGATAAAGGTTGAGTGTTGCCATAGATGTCTTAGAGGGTGTGAGTTTTGGGGACAAGGGGGGGCTTGACTGGTCAAGATTGGAGGGAGAGAGAGGGTCGGCTGAAGGAATATGACTACTGTGTGCAAGTTCAGAGGGAAGATCAAGGGGTTTGACAAGAGAGTTGTTTGTGGATTGGGTAATACAATGCTCAATACTAGTAGGTGAGATGGCAATAGGCGTGGGAGGTTGTGTTGTAACAAGTGTTTTTGTCATGGGAAATATATATAGTTGTTGTAAGAGGAGAAGAGAAATACTAGACTTAGACAGAGATTTTCCTAGTACTCCTTGGGCTTAAGAATCAGAAGAGAGACAAATGGATCAGGTGAGTTTTAAAAGAGAAACACTTCTTCATCAAATACCATATCCTTCGAGATCAAAAACTCGCTAAAGTGAGTGAGAGGCATTTGTAGCCTCAATGAAAAGCATTGTAGCCCAAGAGGATGCATCATTCAGACTTGGACGTGAGCTTGGTGGATGCATATGGTCTGAGATTTGGATAGCAAGAGCACCTGAAATTCTTGAGAAGATGATAGTTAGATGAGCACTAATAGATCAACTCATAGGGAGATTTATGTTTCAAGATGGGTGTTGGCATGTGATTGATCAAGAAGGCAACTGTTGCCACAACTTCATCCTAGTACTTGTGTGGCATCAAGGCATGCTTAAGAAGGGAGAGTGCTGTTTTGATTAAATGCTAGTGTTTCCTCTTAGTTGTCCCATTTTGAGCAAGTGTGTATAAGCATGATATTCAATGATTAATGCCTTGATCACTGAGTAATTTACTTAGCGATTGGAACTCACCTCCCCAATTTGATTGAAAATTCAGAATTTTCAGTGACAACTGAAGTTCCACTCTCTTCTCAAAGTTTGTAAACACTTCAAGGACATCATTTTTTCACTTCAATAGATAGAGCCATGTGTATCTCGAATAATCGTCTACAAAGATCACATAATACTTGTATCCTAGGTGAGATATCATAGGTGATGGCCCTCATAAATCTGATGGATTAGTTCCAAGGGTTTGCTTGTGGAATAAATTGATTTAGAGAAGAGTAGCTTATGAACTTGGGAAGAGAGACAAACATCACAAGAGGGACTAACTTTATTGTCTTTCAACATTGGCAGTCCATAAATGGCTATTATGTGATGTAAAATCTTGAGATTTGGATGGCCCAACTGCTCATGCCATGTGACATTAATACTTTTTGTCCGAGGTACGCTTGTAGAAACTTGGAATTCTACAAGAAGTAGAGGCCATCTTTAATTATTCCCCATAGTAGAAGAGTCCCTATTGCTTTGTCCTTCACAAGACAATACGTTGCATGAAATTCCACATAAACATTATTATCATTAATCAATCTATGGACTGGCAAAAGAATTTTGGCAATCGTAGGTATGTGGAGAACATCATGAAGCTTCAATTATCTGTGATGAGAATGCAAAATTAAATTTCCAGTAGAATAGATATTCAAACCTATGCCATTGTCGATTTACAGCTGATCATTGCCTTGGTAGACTACTAGATCTATGAGAGTCTGTGGCTCATTCGTGAAGTGGTGAGTGGCACCACTATCAAGATACCAAGCAGTGGAGTGAGGTGGCTCCATGCTGGCTGGATTGGTCTGATGTGAGGGAGTAGGCTTGCGACTGTTGGTATGGTTGAGGTTCTTTCATTGGAGAATTAGTCCAACCAAAGAAGCTTTAATTGAATTGTTCTTGATAATCTTGGGCTCAATGCCCAAATTGATCACATATTTGGCATCTGAGTGTATCGCCCACCATTTCTACCTCGTCCTTAGGTAGATGGCCCACCAAATCGACCCTTACCTCATTCTAAAACTACTGATTGAACTTGGTTCACTGTAGGAGGGAATTCAGTTGATTCTTTGGTTGCTACTGAAAGATTGACTAGGTCTTCATGTGAATGAATCTAAGATACGACTTTCTCAAAACTCAAGTTCTGCAGATGCGAGGTAATTCCTGTATTGAAAGTAGCATAGGAGGGGCCTAGTCCCCATAGATGTGATGGCAATGATTTCTTGGATTGGTTGCCCCGCTGCTATGAGTTCATTACAGGTATTGTGAAGATCCTGCACATAATCAAATACTGATCTGATTCCTTTGGTATGTTGTGGAGCTTGTTGTGCAGATGCATAATCCTTGACGGATTCTTGGAAGAGTAATTCTTGTTGAGAGCAATCCACACTTCTTTGGTAGAAGTTTTACTAACAACGCATGATAGAAGGGATTCCGTGAGAGAGGTAACAATCAGTGTCAGTACTAGTTGATTTTGATGCCAACACTATTGATACTCCGGATTGACTAGGAGTGTGCCATTGGGACCTAGCTTCATCGAGCTCAGTGGATCTTGCTCGAGAATATGTGCGAGGTCATAGCAATTTAGTAGAGGAAGTAGTTGAGTTTTCCATAAGAGAAAATTCTTTCTCATGAGCTTGATCGAGATCTGTCCGCCAATGTGATTTGTGGCGATGAGCGCTGCAACAGAGCTCATCAAAGAAGTAATCGGGATTTGCTTATTTTCAGGATTCGCAACTATTGCATCTTTGGATGTAGGAGAGGACATGGATCAAGAAACTATTAAACGCAGAGGCTTTGATACCATGAAGAGATTCAAAAATAGAGAGGAGATGAATTAGAGGACGGAGAAAAAAGCTCACCCTCCATAGCCTCAGATCATTCCCCCCTTATATAGTGGGAAGACAGCTATGTGACTTGAATTGCAGGCAGTTACGCAGAGGCAGTTATGGTCAAAGTTGACCGCTTGGAGCTGTTGCTATTAGAGGACGCCTCAACACCATCAACATTCCACTACTTGCAACTCTATGTGACTTCATTGCTCACGTGTGCCACATCATTATCATGTTGTGCTGTCATACATCTTTGTGTTTTGACAATCACATTCAGCTAGTCCACACCTAGCATTGTCATTCACCTTGGTCATGTGCTCCAACACGTGAGCCTACATTGCTCATAAGGGCCATGTTGTCCTGGTGTCATGACATCAGGTGCTTGTTGAGTACTCTGATGAACATCTTACTGCATCCAAACCTAGCATTGACATTTGCCAAAGTCATACTTTGATACCACTTGTTATGATCGTGATAGTGCTTCAATGGGCAGACCCTCAATAGGGGGAGAGAATGTCTTTATACATTCAACTCTCTCATAGGGAATGAAAGCAGCCCCAATTAGAGCGGTCCATTATGTTTAGAGATATGAATAGAGAAACCCACTTGTTTAAGTCAATGAAAGAAGATAGCTTAGAATTAGTTGTTCTCACAACTTTAAATGAATATATTCATTTAAGATGTTCAATTTTAATAAACAGATCAAATCTTCATCAGTGAGAGATTGATTATGTAAGAAGTAATTTATTAACTATCCTATGTTCTCACAAGGAGCAAGAGCAAGGATACTAGGATGAAGATCAAATTCAGTTTCAAAGATGAGAAAGTTGCAATACCTTTAGTGATACCTAATTTGCCTATGGTCTAATAAAACTTGAAGACTCTTCTTAAGGTATTTGATCCACTGAAGATTGCAGAGGTGATGGAGAACTAGAGGGAGGATTGAGTAGAGAAAGAAGTAGGGGAAGAAGAAGGGAAAAGAAGTAGATATTACATGGGACCGCACATGGATGCGCCCCCTCTTCTCATTTTCTCTCCACACAAGATAACCATTCGGCTGGGAGGAGGGAGGTTCGAGTAATGCGGAAGAAAATCATTGCTGCCGACAAATGGTGTGGTGGGGTTCAGATGTCAGATCAGATCCAACCATACATGGCCCACTACAGTGATAGAGAAGAAGAGGAGGAAGAAGATGATGGGGAGAGAATCGACTGAGATGCTGATCTTAAGCTCAGCGTGGAGATCATTGGAAGACTGACTGGCACCCGCTGCCAGTGGCTGACCAGAATGCTGATGTCTCCTAAGAAGAGGAAGAGATCGTCAAGGTTGCCGAGTTCGAAGAAGACCAGAAAGGCGCCTGTGGAATCCTCGGAACCTCGTCGATGAGGCCCATTGGGAAACCCTTTTGAATGGCTGAAAAGAGCCTTAATGGACCAAATTCAGACGGTGGTGCTGCAGATCCAAAGCACCGGCCCGAGGAAGGAAACAAAATCCTTCTGACGTGGCAGTTGAGCCAGATTTCGAAGACCAGTCAGCCTAAGAGGAAGATGAAGAACAAGGGAAATGGAAGAAACCTATGATGGCTAATTCCCAGAGAGTGGACGAGGAAGGAGAACACTCGCGAAGCTACTTCGTGAGCTTCAATCCCCGCGATGATCTGGGTCTGCACAAGCAGAGCATTTTCCCGGCGAAGGGACGCGGGACGTTCTCCCACAACTACCTGCTCCAGCACCGCCGCGTCCAAGGCGCCGACGACCGCCCCCTCGATTAACTGTCCCTGGAAGGGCTGCATGATGACCTGCAAATTGCCGCTGGGGCCAACGGAGCACAGTAGGGTTCACACCGGCGCTCGCCCCTTCGTCTGCCTCTCCTATGATGACCATAGGGTGGGGTTGCTGGTAAGTAGTCGAATATTAAATCCAGAATATTCGTGTTCTTTTTATTCAATATATTATTTTTTGGGTATTTATTTTTATATCTTCTGCTCAACTAAGCTCAGTATAACTATTTATAGCATTCATTGGTTTTATTTTCTCTGCGGTAAGGAGGGCTGAGCCTGGACAAAGGAAGCCGGCCGGTTAGAGGATGGTTTGTCAGGGGTAGAATGGTACTTTTATCGATAACCGTTGGAGACGATGATCTCGCCCGAGGGACGAGGACAGTTAACACGTGCGCGCTGATCCGGCGGCGATGACTTTGACGGCGGCGAAGATGCGCACACGTGTTGAAGCAAGCTGGAACTGAGCCCGATTCCTTGTGGGTCCTCTAACGCCGCCTCAACGGTCTAACGGCCACCTCATTCTCCGGTCTCACCTCCTCATTATACTCTGCATGTCGCATAATGAGAGATAGAGGAAAGAAACGGAAGGAGATATCATCGGAAACCTCGCATTGCGATGGTTGCCTTATAAACGGTGAGGGCCCGGGAGGGCATCATTACCTCCTCTGGCCAATCAAGAGAGAGGGCTAGAGCCTGAACGAGAGCAAGAGCGAGAGCTTGAGCGGGAGGGAGGGGGAGAGAGAGAGAGAGAGAGAGAGAACTTGAGCGGGAGGGAAGGAGAGAGAGAGAGAGAGAGAGAGAGAGAGCGCGAGTGGGCGGGAGGGAGGGAGAGAGAGAGGGAGAGCGGGCTTGAGCGGGAGGGGGAGAGAGAGAGAGAGAGAGCTTGAGCGGAAGGGAGGGAGGGAGGAGGGAGGAGGGAGGAAAGAGCAGGGAGAGAGGGAGAGAGGGAGAGAGGGAGAGAGAGAGGAGAGAGGGAGAAAGAGAGGGAGAGAGAGAGAAGAGAGAGAGAGAGAGAGAGAGTATGATGCTGTCGTAGGAGCCATCTTCTTTCTCTTACTCCACAAGGGGTGCGATGGCGACCATCACCCTGGAGGAGATCCGCAACGAGAACGTCGACCTGGTGAGCTGGCTGATTCCTCCCGTCGTCTTCTATACTCCTGTCATTGATTTCTTCTGTCGGCGGTGGGTTGCCGCAGGAGAGGATCCCGGTCGAGGAGGTCTTCGAGCTGTTTAAGTGCTCGAAGGAAGGCCTCACCAGCGAGGAAGCGAAGCAGCGCCTCCAGACCTTTGGGCCCAACAAGCTTGAGGAGAAAAAGGTATCCCGGCCGTCGAAGCTTGACCCGGACGTCCCGCCGAGTCTCTGTCTTCATGACTTCAGATGAATCCCGAAGCATTAATCTTTAATGATGGTTGTCTTTTCCCTAGATCTCGACGAAAAATCCTAACCCTAACAGTAACCCTTCTCTCCCAAGTGTAGATCTGTCGCAGGCTCTCTCTGAACCTTTATTCTGACGGAGTTCTCTCTGATATTCTGTTCTACTCATCACCAGGAGAGCAAATTCCTAAAGTTCTTGGGCTTCATGTGGAATCCTCTATCGTGGGTAATGGAGACCGCCGCCGTAATGGCTATCGTCCTCGCCAACGGAGACGTAATAGAAACCCTAGATTGTCACTTTCTCCACCGGTTTTGTCGCAGAGGCTCCTAGTTTCTTATCTGCTCTCTACTTGGCGCAGGGCAAGCCCCCAGACTGGCCAGACTTCCTCGGCATCATCATTCTTCTCCTGATCAACTCCACCGTCAGCTTCGTCGAGGAGAACAACGCCGGCAACGCGGCGGCGTCTCTCATGGCTGGGCTTGCCCCCAAGACGAAGGTTCTCCGGGATGGACGGTGGTCGGAGCAGGAGGCGGCGATCCTCGTCCCTGGAGACATCATCTCCGTTAAGCTGGGCGACATCGTGCCCGCCGACGCCCGACTCCTCGAGGGCGACCCCCTGAAGATCGACCAGTCGGCCCTCACCGGCGAGTCGCTCCCCGTGACGAAGAAACCTGGCGATGAGATCTTCTCTGGGTCGACCTGCAAGCAAGGGGAGATCGAGGCCGTCGTCATCGCCACCGGCGTCCACACCTTCTTCGGCAAGGCGGCGCACCTTGTCGACAACACCAACAACGTGGGCCACTTTCAGAAGGTGTTGACGGCGATCGGCAACTTCTGCATCTGCTCCATCGCCGTTGGGATGCTGGTGGAGATCATCGTCATGTACCCCATCCAGCGCCGCCCTTACAGGGAAGGCATAGACAACCTTCTCGTTCTACTTATCGGCGGCATCCCCATCGCCTTGCCGACGGTGCTCTCAGTCACCATGGCCATTGGCTCCCACCACCTCTCTAACCACGGTGCCATCACGAAGAGGATGACGGCCATCGAGGAGCTGGCCGGTATGGACGTCCTCTGCAGCGATAAGACCGGCACCCTCACCCTTAACAAGCTCACCGTCGACAAGGCCATGATCGAGGTCTTCCCCAGAGATCTGGACCGGGACGCGGCCGTCCTCCTCGCCGCCAGGGCCTCCCGACTCGAGAACCAGGACGCCATCGACGCCTCCATCGTCAACATGCTCGCCGATCCAAAGGAGGTAACGCAACTCGCCCGCAGTTTGAACCTTGCCGGAGTAGATAGAGTAGCTAGCTACTAATAATTAATCCTCGCTGCTATTCGATGCAGGCGAGGGCGGGAATCCAGGAGCTGCACTTCCTCCCGTTCAATCCGGTGGAGAAGCGGACGGCGATCACCTACGTCGACGCCGTTGACGGCAGCTGGCACCGGGCCAGCAAGGGAGCGCCTGAGCAGATCATCGACCTATGCAACCTCCGCGGCGGGGCGAGAGCCAGGGCGCACGCCATCATTGCCAAGTTCGCTGAGAGAGGGCTGAGGTCCCTGGCGGTGGCGAGGCAGACGGTCCCGGAGAAGAGCAAAGAGAGCGCCGGCGGACCCTGGGACTTCGTCGGGATCCTCCCACTCTTCGACCCGCCGCGCCACGACAGCGCTGAGACCATTCGCCGAGCCCTCAACTTGGGAGTCAACGTGAAGATGATCACTGGCGACCAGCTGGCCATTGCCAAGGAGACTGGACGCCGCCTCGGCATGGGCACGAACATGTACCCCTCCTCCTCACTTCTAGGTGGCGATGATAGGGACGAGTCAATCGCCGCCATCCCCGTCGACGAGCTCATTGAGAAGGCCGACGGTTTCGCCGGGGTCTTTCCGGAGCACAAGTATAACATCGTGAAGAAGCTCCAGGAGAGGAAGCACATCTGCGGCATGACCGGCGACGGGGTCAACGACGCGCCTGCCCTGAAGGCGGCGGACATTGGCATCGCCGTCGCCGACGCAACCGACGCTGCCAGGAGCGCCTCCGACATCGTGTTGACGGAGCCGGGGCTGAGCGTGATCATCAGCGCAGTGCTGACCAGCCGGGCAATATTCCAGAGGATGAAGAACTACACCATCTACGCCGTTTCTATCACCATCCGTATCGTCCTCGGCTTCCTCCTCCTCGCCCTGGTATGGGAGTTCGATTTCTCCCCCTTCATGGTCCTGGTCATCGCCGTGCTCAACGACGGTACCATCATGACCATCTCCAAGGACATCGTCCGACCGTCGCCGGCGCCGGACTCGTGGAAGCTCTGGGAGATCTTCGTCACCGGCGTCCTCCTCGGAACCTACCTTGCCCTCATGACCGTCATCTTCTTCTGGGCTGCCAACGACACGGACTTCTTCACCGTGAGTGCAGTCGCCGCCGCCGTCCCTCTCACTATTTCCTCGATCTTTTTTCCTCCGTTGATCGATTGGCTTGCAGGAGATCTTCCATTTAAGGCCGATAAGGGGCAACCACAAGCGGCTCAACGCGGCTCTGTACCTCCAAGTGAGCATCATAAGCCAGGCCCTCATCTTCGTCACTAGGTCACAGAGCTGGTCCTACTCCGAGCGCCCGGGCCTCCTTCTCGCTTCCGCCTTCATTTTCGCTCAAATCGTTATCTCTCTCTCTCTCTCTCTCTCTCTCTCTCTCTCTCTCTCTCTCTCTCTCTCTCTCTCTCTCGCTCTCTCTCTCTCTCTCTCTCCCCCTCTCTCTCTCTGACCTCACTCTGTCTCGCACTGGCTGGGTTCACTATAACACGGCTGCGGGGGCAGGTGGCGACGTGCATAACGGCGAAGATCGACATGGATTTCGCGAGGTTTCACTCAATCGGATGGAAGTGGACGATGGCGATTTGGCTCTACAGCGTCCTCACCTACATTCCACTCGACTTTCTAAAGTTCGCCATCCGCTACGCCCTCAGCGGCAAGGCCTGGCACCAGATGCTCCACAACAGGGTCTCTCTCTCTCTCACTCTCTCCCTCCTCTTCCTTTATCTGGAGATTAACACCCTTGCCTTTTTCCACCCCGGCAGATCGCCTTCTCGACAAAGAAGGACTGCGGGAGGGAGGAGAGGGAGGCACAGTGGGCCGTGATCCAGAGGACAATCCACGGCCTCCACCCGCCAGAGTCCTCGTCCGGCGACCAGAACAGCCACCGGGAGCTCTCCGAGATCGCCGACCAGGCCAAGCGCCGCGCCGAGGTGGCCAGGTGACTCCGCCCCTCAGAACCATTCCCCTTAATCCCCGTTCCCCCGCTCTCTCATAACTAATCGTCCCACGTTAGAGAGGCATGACCTTAAATCCCATACACGCATGCAGAAATCCGTTCTAGTTTTGGTAGAAATCAAATTCCCGTGATCAAAATGCTCCCATATTATCCTAGATAGCTCCACTTTAGCCCGACACTTACATGCTCAAGGTTACGCTGGTCTCCCCGTTCTGCATGCAGGCTGAGGGAGCGTCATACGCTGAAGGGGCACATCGAGTGCGTCGTGAAGCTGAAGGGGCTCGACATTGACACCATGCAGCATCACTACACCGTGTGAGGAAGGTTGCAAGGACAGTCTAAGACTATGGTTTTTGGTAGTTCGTTAGTTCCCTAGTTTTAGTTTATGCATGACTAATGGTCGCCAAAGCTTTTCCTTTTCACGATTTGTGTTTTGATAGTTGACTTTTGTAGAAGATGATACACACTTGTTTGTTGGGTCGTAGTAATGTCATTAATTTATTGCATGTCAATAAAGTTATAACTTTATAATTGTTCCTCACAACCGTCGCATTTATAGCACCATTCAGGGGTCAGTATCAAAGCTAGAACTTTATGGGTAGCTTCACATAGTCATGATACGCGCATTGTTCATTGGTTTTCATATTAAAAAAATTATAATTCCAGGATAGTTGGTCACCAATGTGAAATAATCATCATATACAGGCATAATATTTTATTAAATATTTACTATAATGGCTCGAATTTAGACTCAATGTAATTGGGCTGGTGCCATAATCTGGTTGTCATTTCTAGTAAATAAAACTGAGACTATGGGCCTAACTGGGACACCGCAAAGGTGCGGAGACAAGGGCCGAACCGACTGGCCCAGTGCAAGATGTGGACCGGCGATCTGCCTCGTTTCTCTTCGATAGTGAGGCGATCGATAAATGGACCGTTGAAAATCGGCCGGATCCAAACTTAGTATTGAGTTCGGTTCATTTCCAGCCCACCGAGATAGCGAAATCTGACGGCTCAGACTGGCATGTCTGCCGAGAGAGAGAGAGTGAGAGAGAGAGAGAGAGACAGGGTTTAGGGTTCAGAGGACTGGAGGCTATTTATACTGGCGCCGTGATGAGACAGAGGCAGGAGAGAGGGGTTGCTTCACGATTATGGAGGGAGGTTTTTACAGGCGGGGGATACGGGGTCCTTGCAGCGACGCTTCCTTCTGCCTGTCTTTTGAGACGTGCGATGTGATGTTTACCCTGGGTTAATCGTCATCTCTATTTGAATGTGAGAGTCCCGTCGTACGATTTGATAATGGTATCCTCCCCCCGCCCTTTTGTTTGGACTGTCGGTTGGGGATTTGATGGGATTCAGCTATTGTAGGAATGTTGCTAAAATAGGTCTTCCTGATGACCTTCCTGCTTCTGGTTGGCCTCGTATGGTTCGGCTATTTTTCTGATCTCTAAGCCGCTGGCAGGGTAATGTCTAGGTATTTCTATGGCCATCTCTACTGCTCTGTGTATAGTTTTCGTCTACTAATTCGATTTTCTCATTGAAACCCATTTAATTTTTTGGCTTCTAATTATACTATTTGCAAAAATTGTGTGTTCATGATCATGTCATAAAGGCAAGATATTTCGGTCCAAGTTCGTAAAATTAAAAAGGGTACCATTTTTCATGTTTATAATTCAGGAATGTCTCCATTTCCCATCTCCCTCTGTCTTCTGTTGAATTTTCATTTTCCAGCCTTTACACTAGTTCCATCTCTGATTTGTTTTATCAACGCAATGAAGGACCTTTGGAGATATTGCTCCGTAGAGAAATGCAATCTCATCCAAGTTTGCCTTCGAATGGCAAGTGACTGATGGTTCAATGGGCGGAATTCATATTCTGATCTCGGGGATCTGTATTCCAACATTTTCTCTTCCTAAAACTCCGTCTCGGACAATTCTGAATCTGGATTTAATGAGCATAGGTTGAGTTGAATCATAGGAAGTGAATCAAACAGAGGATCAAGAAGAATAATTCCTCACAGTCAAAGAATGCTTTACCTTGTCACTTCAAGTTTAAGCTCATTTTACTTCTTTCGAGTGGCAATTTCCGTCAACATATTCCGTCCTTGAGAAATAATTTAGTAACAAAGCGAATGAATAAAAAGTGAAAGATTGTAGTTCTCATCCAGTAGACCTGAAAATCGACTTCCTCTTTTCCATCCCATTTTATGGCTTATGCTAATTCTTAAACCGAGCAAAGCTTTAGAAATGTGCTGAAACTGGCGTCGTATTCAAGAGCTGAAACTTGCGAAGGACCTATGGAGGGCTTGCTTGCAATGCGATCTCTTCCAAGTTTGCCTTCGGATAGATAATGACCAATGGGCCACATGGTTAGGAATTACTTTCCTAGCTCATTGGTGTTTTTCCCAGTTGAAGTCATACATCTTCCCACGCAGTTCTTTAAAAGTATAGAACGCTAGAAATATATCGTATGAAACAATTGAGAGAGTACTGCATATGAACACAGAAGCATATGGGAATTAGTGTTGATCTGTGATAATTGAAGTAATGACATCAAAATGTTAACTAACAGAGTCTTCAATATAAGATGTTGTAAGCTCTCGCAGAGTCTTTTATCTCTTTAGTACGAAAATCTGTGGAGGCTAGAGTCATGACCGTTCAGGTAAAGCTAATCACTGGCAGACGTCTATTCATAGTTAATTCGCGCTGTCTGTTCTTCAGATTTCTATATCAGCCCCATAGATGATCTGCATGTTGAGACATATTTGCTTAGAAAAAAAAATTATGCCCTGCACCGCCCATTGAAATATTTTATTACAACAAGAAGGCAGTGGACTGTCCCAGTAAAAGAATCTTGGTATGCATGTAACCTGGAAGCCAATCCAAGTTAAAAGGACTAACTCAATCTCATGGATCTCTTTGGCAATTAGATATATTTGCTGGTGTGTTGTACACAAAATATTTTGGGTCTGCTGGCGAAGAATCTTCCTGGGGAAAGGAAACAAACTCCTACGAAATCTCCTTTGCTGATTCCTTCTAGTTATATATCCACGGTCATTTACGTGTACTGTCACTCATGCACATCAGAACACGAAAATGCTATTAACAGTGTTCTCTTTAGAGCCCTGAAGTGCATGATACCGATATGGGTGAGAACATGTGGTTTCCTACCTCGCAAGATATTTCACTGGACATAAGATAGTCTTGTTTGCTTCAGTGGATTTAGACCGTATGGTTTTCTGTGCCTATGTTTCTAGATCAATCAACCATGTTCCTTGTACGATTAGTTTTGATTCCAACTCTTGTCATTTCTCTCATGATTTGTAACTCATGGACATAGTGAAACCTCAGTACTGTGGCTAAATAGAGGAACATGAGGGATTAAAGAAGGGCATATCGAAAGGCGGTCTTGCTCTTATGGGTTCTCTTCCATGTTTGGGTTCTAGAAGTAAAACTTTATTGGATTATCTGGAGCTGGCTTTTAAATAATTTTATCATTGGGAGGTGATAATTTTATTCCATCTGATGTCATTCTCTTATGCTAATAAATTGCTTATAATTAGCCTAATTACTCTACTCTATTGCCCATTTCTTGCTAGGAATTCTTGTAACGTAAGCTTAAAGCAAAACTTTACCTTCTGCATCTGCCAGTTTGAATCAGATATGACGGATCATATGCACCTGAGTGAAATGACGGCTGAGTTTTAAAACGGTATCTGAAGCAATTTAGTCGTTGCTATTAGTTTGATAGAACGTACTAGAGATCTGTTCCAGCATCAAAATTAGGTCCAACTGTTGTAAAATATGATTTTCAACGAGTGAGAGGTCTTCAAAATTTATTATTGGTATTTTGCTAGTCGTCTAAACAGTAATTGAGACTCGTGTAGAAATACACAGTTAAATATGGATCGGGTGATGGAAATTGAAAGCCCAAGTGTGAATAGGATAGAAGGATATGGTATGGCTGATTTTCACTTCAGCCAATCTGAATCTGCAACTAGAATGGATTAAAGTTTTAACAAACAAATAAAATAATATATATTGCTTGATCTTGTGATCATACTTGTTAAAATAATTGGCTCTGTTGTCAAATGAAATACTCAAAGATGGCAAATGCAACGAACTATAAGTCAATTTCTATTATAAATGGAACGGGTCTGGTGTCCATAATGTAGCACTATACGTTTCATGTTTTTGGTGTGGATTTGTACCCTGCAAGCTAGTTGAATAATGGATAAACCCTTGTTTACCTCTGGCCCTTGATGTGTGCTATCGTTTTGGAACTGTGAGTCCTTGTTAGATTTAGGTGATTTATAACTCATCATAGTGGCCCATTAAACCAATGTAACTGGTGACTATTGCCTTATTTCACAACTTGAGCTTTCCCTAAGTACTTTCCTCCCTCTATCTGTTGCATGTTACTCTCTCTCCTAACCATATTAGGTTTATAGTTATCCAATTTATCAAACACAACTTACTCCATCCCCCCAACCTCTCAAGTATTTCACCTGTCACAAGTTGGATGCCAAAGCATTACAAAAGGTTGAAAATGTAATATGAATCAAAATAGTGTAACTTACAAAGGCTTGATTGACAGTATGAATGATTGCAGAATCTTGGAGGGATCACCCATACATTGAGTGGCCTATATAACAAAAACCTGATTATTTTAATTGTTTTCATAATGTGTAATGAATTTTAATGTGAGACGACATATCTGATTATTTTTTGTGGATATGAAAACACCTGGATATATGCTTGACTGTGTAGTGTTATATTTTCAGATTCATTTGTGTAATTATATAATCTTAATCTTAATTATATTAATGGTGTTTGGAAATCTCTATACTATAGATGATTTTTATGATATATATACATATATATATGGGTATATGTCTTTCTATAGACATACCACAAGGAAATAAAGGAAAGACATTGACATCAAAAAGCTTATAACGGTTCAATCTAATCTTATAAGACTTCACTTTCCCAGTCTTCCCAAGGGTATTCAATTTTTCCAGCATGATACCTAGACTCTTTTATGCTAGCATAACACTTGGCATAACACTTAGCATAATGAAATCACTCACAAAGCAATCGAAGATGTTTAGGGCAGAACAACGGGCTTGAAGAACCTATTTGAACCTTGAGAAGAGTATGCAAAGATGTGTGAGGTTTTGAAGTGAATCTTATAGGGCTTGCCCTTGAGAACTTGTGGAATCATTCGATGATCTTCACAAGGCAAGTTTTTATAAAGCAATGAATTGAATCTCACAGCAGTAATGCAGATTGAAACCTTTTAATGAGAACCATGCAATAATTTTTCTGACAAATCGTCAGTTGACTCCTAAGTTGTAGCTATTGACACCCAAATTATGTCCTAAACCTCATGGTTTATACTGTGTTTACTCTTCAAGTCAATCCCATGTCCATATTTTAGACTTGCTATTAGTCATCTATAGACAGGAAACTTTATATTAGTCAAAATTTCACATCTCTTACAACCTACACAGTCCTCGGTTCTCGGAGCAGAGGCAATTTGCTTAGCTTTACATCCGTCCCAAGGTATCATTTCCAAAACATCCGTAGGGCAGGCACTCCTAAATGGCATCTTTTTTCCCTTAAAAGGGAAACGATAGATCCCATGGCTTTATGCAATTACCTTAGTGGGAACAGATCCCGCAATGATACATGGTACAGAGATGAATGCCCGCCGAACTAAGACCAGGACTACGCCAAGCACTTAACCATGAAGGGGCCTTCGAGTTCATACCCGAGCTTTCTGTAATAGTGGCGAGTGCCTACTCCAGATATGACGGCTATTTTCGCTGATCTGTGCTCCCTTCTGGCGATTCGCTCCGCTTCCTCCATGAGAAGAGTCCCATAGCCCTGAACACATAAGCAAACACCCAGACTAAACACATTATTCTTCCTGAGTCCAGAGTGACCGGGAGAGGTGAATGAATGCCAATGAAGAGACCAAAGGCTGTCCACCAAATCTCAGAGAGTGTGGAGAATAAATGGCAAATGACTGCAATTCAAGGCCTCCTTGCACTCGCAACCATATAGTTCGCATAAGAAAGTCTCAAATCCTGCTTGATACTCCATACTCTTAAGACAGATGCATCATTATGCTTCTCAATGCCTCACACAAGATGACTGCCAAAGTGATGATAATAAATCCCTCACACAAGATGATCAAGATTAAGACCGTATAGTTCGCCTTCCTCTAGTTGGGCTACTGCAACTGGATTGCTTGTCCCAGAGAGCATAAGGGTAATTTATAAACAGTTCAACAGATGAAACCAAAGGCAGAAAAGTAATAGTAGCAATCAGCTGATTTCTCTAAAAGAGGTAAGCTATAGGACAGTTGGGGCTTTGGGGCTTTTAGGCTTGGGCCATATCAATTCCAGAGAAAACACGATGGAAGCCAGATGATAAATAAGTATTAATTCATCCGAGAGAAAGGGAATGAGAACGGCATGCTGATGCTTACCTGATGCTGCAGCTTGTTGGCATCACGGCCATGCACGGGTACTGCAGTCCCATAGACATGGAGCTCACGAACGATCGAGCACCTCCCAACTAATTCAGGGCAAGTCACGTTACGCCCACATTTCCTCAGGCGTAGCAAGCCGACGAGAATATCCTGAGTAGCAGGTTGTGATGAAATCAACAACAACAACAACAACTAAAAAGGAACCTTGCAACTTAACATGGTTCTTACTATACATAATAGTATTGTTTCATTTTTCCTTCCCCTTTTTCATTTACATCTTCTCTCTGAGTCATCATCCAATGGTCTCCTTTCCTCTTTTTACTGCAAGCCCTAGTCAGGCTAAATGGAAGTGGAGGGGGCAATAAGACAAATTTATTGTATTAAATAAGTTTCATCATTAAAGCCCCTTCATCCTTGATTGTATACCGTTTTTTGCCTATTTCCATATATAATAACAGATAAACAAGAACAAACAAGGGCACAACAGTTCTTCAAAGTAATTCGATGCTGAGACAGGAAGTCCAGCATCGAGCTTTTAGTGACTTGGACTTTAACCTGGCTTCAGTTATGAACTATCATATCATAGCCATTCCGAATACACCATAATAAGTAACTACAAATAATTTATCGATATAGCATTTTGAGTAATGCCACAAGAGGGGGGGGGGGAGGGGAGGGGTACCTGTCTTGTATCCTCATAGGAGAGAAAAGTTTCCCAGCCTTCATTAGCTGTATAATCACGGCGAACAAGCTCTACTTCTTCTGGCTTTATTTTATGGTGGATGTCCTATAAATGATTCTACTCCGGTAAGATAAAAGAATAAATAATTGATCCCTGACCGCTGAAAACAAATTGATTCCATAAACCAAAGGAAACTACAGATGGTTTTACCTGGATCCCAGCTTCACGTGTCCTAACATCACGACATTTCAATCCTAAATCCTCCATTCGAGCCAAAGCAAGCTCACGAAGATTACCTTTTTCTACTCCAGATGTGACCAGTGGCATAGGAATGTCCCTTTGAACTCTATAAACACGTGTCCAAGGAGGAACCAAGGAAAGGATCCTTGCAACAATGTCAACCAGGAGATCTGGTGGATAGTTTTTGTACCTGAGTAGGGAATAAATAAAGAAATGTTAGCAGCCACCAGAATCGCCATGTCAAGCTAGACCTCAGTGAGAACAACAAGATTTTTTGTGAGAAGATGATTGACAGCTCAATTAACCTCACGGGTGAATCTCTAGAAGACAACAAAATAACTTTGCCCAAGGTCCAAAATGAAGCATACGAAATGCGCAAAAGCCATGACAGAAAATAAAAGTGAAGGCATACGGAACCATACCTAGGGTACAGAAATTCAGAGTACCAGTTCTAAGAAAAGTAGAGAGAAACTATGAACTGAATGAAACTCAACCTGCCAGTTTTCCAGAGCTCATAAAGTCCAGTTCCCCGAATGACGAGTGTTGGATAAATTTTTAGACCATCTGCTCTAAAGGATGGGCTCTCAAAGAATTCTCGAAAACTTTCCAAATCTCTCTCAACACCAACATTTGGAAGATCAGGCATCATGTGTGCAACAACCTGGAACCACTTCAACTAAATTAACAAGGAAACAAGGAATCTAAACCAAATTATAAACAAAGGATAATGCTCACAAATCAAATTATATTACAACAGCAAAGATTGACAATAAGGCATCCAAGTCATCCACCCACGATGATCATGATCATGAATTTAATAAAGACGAAATTCAAAAGTTTTCTGCGAGCAATGATTACAATGGATACAGTATAAACATGACATCAAGCTAGGATCCAAAGACACAACAATTTATCTCCCATTGTGCTTAGTAACATAAATGGAAATAGTAAAGAAATTTTGGTTTCATGCGTATATTTTTATTTTATTCTCTTTTATTTATTTTGTAACTATCGACACTCAAATGAAGTATTTTTTGCTTCTACAACAAGTATCCATTGCTAGCATTGACTAGGTAGGCAATTGCATGTCTCATCACATCCGATGCATTGATCAATACCCTGCCATGGCTGATTAATCATTATTCAGAGATGGATTGCAGCCTTGATATTTCTTCCTGAGATGTGTTTTCTCCACCCACATAGTACATCATCATGAATGAACCGTGCATTCATCAAGCATATGGTGCCGTAATTAGTTCCTCTATTTCAGACCGCATAAAGCAAAGACAGACCCACATATTGTCCATATGTTTCTGGTAGTGCACACAATCAACTTTTAATGCCTGTGGTTGAAAATAGTAATTTGATTTTGATGACGCAAATTTCATGGAACGTCTTGGGCCTCTAAATGATCCAATCATGGAGACCCATTGTCCCAAGAACTTATACACACGCTCTCACTGAGATTCTCTCGATGGTCTTCTCAGCATTCCTTTAGAGCGTACTATTTTCTGCAAATGTGGAGGTAGGTAACCAAATCGAAGAGGTATCTAAAAATTGGCCGCAAGCTCATTGAAAACTGCGGAAAAGACAATAAAATTGATAAGAATAAAATATATCACCTTGAAACCAGCATCCTTCGCCAAGCAAAAACAATCAGCCACAGCAGCTACTGTGTGCCCTCTATTTGTGTCACGGGCAACATCTTCATATGTGCTTTGAACTCCTATTTCCAATCGTGTACAGCCATAAGACAGCATTTGGCGTAAATGTGGCCCAAGGCAATAATCAGGCCTCCTGATTGACGAAATCAACATATGAAACGGAGGGTAGAATAATTACTGTTTCTTGAATAAAGGAATCAAAAATCTTCTCATCTACATATAACTTTTGGAAACAATAGCTTTGTCAGTTCAAGACAAAAGAAATCACTCACGTTTCAATTGTCATGCCAATACATTTTACCGCGCTATGCTCAGAATAACAGACAGCTTCCTCAACATTGACGGAAGTGTGCCCTGATAGAGCATCATGAAGGTTCCGTATAAAATAATCACGATACTCAAGTGGCAATGACATGAATGTGCCGCCCATTAAAATGAACTCAACCTGCAAAAGCCTTGGTATTTGTAACAAGGATGACTTCCAACTAGCTTAAATTGATTCCACTGAATAATAAAAAAGAAACCTTATCTACACTGTGGCCTAGCCGCTTCAATTGATCTATTCGACTTCTTGCTTGGACGTATGGGTTGTATCTGCAACCGTTAAGTTAAAGAACACAAAGCCAGTGTCAACACATGGTTAACCACAAAATGACTCGTAAAAAAAGAATTCTGTTAAGACTGAACGCAGTCTGTTTAACCCAAAGCAGAAACCAGATGCATGAGTACATGTAAATTACAGAACAAAGACATCCAGTGGAAAACGAAGAACACAAAATGAGCCCGAAAATAGTAGCATCTACAATAAAAAGCTAAAATTATTAAAGCTAACTAAAAAATATATATATCTGGGAAATTCTTCTAAAAATGCTCCTTACCTAGCCCGAATAGCCCTCATGCTTGTGGGCTCGTAGCCCGTGTAGGACTGCGTGCTGTACTCGAAATCCGAGTCCGGGCCGCCGGGGCAGTAGACACAGATGTTCCCGGTGGTCGCGATGTGGGGGCACCGGTGGGGCTTCGACATCACGGCCACCACGGCGATCCCGGACGCGGTGCGCACGGGCTTCGCCCGAAGCTTGGGCAGTAGTGACGCCCGGTCCGCCTCCGGAACGGCCGCTATCATCTCCACGAGCTTGGGGGCCCGCGCGAGGCCGTACTTGCGGCAGGCAGCTGACTTCAGGGCATTGAGGTCGACGTCCTCCCCGCCGCGTGAGCGCTCCGACATGGCGGCCACGATCTCCGCGATAGCCCGCACGCGGGCCTCCTCTTCCGTGAGAGCCAAGGCTGAGGGCGCCACCCCTCCCCGCCCAGGCACGGGCCTCCTCCGTACCTCCGGCGCAGCAGGCGCCATGTCTCAGACTGATCTCTAGCGAGCGAGTGCGCAGGCGGGAGGGAGAAGGGTGAGAGAGGAGGAAGGGGTTTTGAGGGAAAAAAGAGAATTGTCACTGCCTTCTGGGCCAACAGAAAACTGGTTAGGTCTCTCGCACACAACCTCTTTTAATTTATTATTTCCATATTTAAAAAACTTTAAATTTTAACGAATATTCAAATATTTGATAATTTTAATAAAAAATGCACTCAAATTTTCTAATGGGTTTCCCATCACACTTATTTTCAGTAGAACCCTCCTTAAAACCTAAAGCCTAATACGAGATGTAAAATACAAAAAATCACGATTCTAGAGTCAAAGATAATGATCACGCTTGTTAAAAAGTAATCACTTTTTATGTTACATCATTATAAATATTTATTTTATTTCTAGATTAGAAAAATGGTATTTAAAAAAAATTGGTTGCACAATCATACTTTCTTTAGGCTCTTTGATGTCAACATTTGCACAAATTTTGTTGGGTAGCTTGATATTGATGGAGTAAATATGTGGAATATAAACAAGGTGAAATTTTCAAGTAATTCCAAGGAAGAAAAAAAACTATTCCCCCGAACATTGGGTGACTTTGATTTTTTTCTAAGAAAATAATTTTATCTTTATCATAAATTTTTAATTACAAGATTTATCATCTTTGTATGTGAATCTCATGATCTTTGCAGATGTTTCTTATCTTCAATCATTGATGTATGATGGTGGAACTACCATCATGGCCTCCAAAAATCATCATATGATGTTTATGTAATTATTAGGAGGACATTTGGTCACATAAGATGTAAGTTGGCATCTCACATATTTGTACCCCTATAAGTTATGGCTGATGAGCCACAAGGAGCCATGCTTTCTTTCTTTCAAACAAGGACATATCCTACTCTCTAACTACCAACATACCATGAATAAATATTGATTTCTCAGCATAAAGCTTCAAAAAACAAGTTCATAATCATGATTGGTTGACCCTTTCATTTGATTTTTGCTTGTTCATAACATCAGTAGAGCTCTACAAATGGGAATCATAGAAATAAGATCAAAGGCAACATCCACAAAAATTGCTTCATATATAAGTTATTGATGCATCAAATTTAATGATTGCCATGAAGATGAAGTCACCAGTACTTGAGGATCACTCATTTTCCATCTTAGATTGAAGCCATCACTTAGTATTGGGAATTACCATCAATAGGAGATGTCAAAGGCCCAAGATAGGATTATGGGGATGAATGAACACAAGCAATGATCATCATGATGATTAGTATTCCACATGGCTGATTGACTATCTCCATGGTCACTAGAGCTGCAAAGTACCCATTGTATCATGATGCTTTTGTGAAAGATGTTAGTGCACTTTACTATTAATAGCATTAAGCATCCAATCACAAAATCTGTCTAGAGAACTTTGGGATTGATGAGATTGTATAACTCATCATTGTACGTGGGGCCATTTCATAGCATTCTCTTGATTCATGTGAACTTGTTGTGTGTAAATCTTGCACACAGACTGCTCCAAGATCCATGGTCATCTGGAGGCTATCAATGGGGGTGTCATGAACAAAGGTCAACCCACCCCACTGACCAACTATTTAGAAGTCTGCCAATCTAGACACATGCCAACATAACGTTCGGGATGCCAAGATGCCCTTTTTAGGCAATCAAGTGGATGCGTGACACTTGCAAATCTCCATGGCTTTCGACTGGACTTGTTGTCACGGATGCTCCCTCCTCCACAGCCTTGTCACAGTAAGCCTGGTAGTTGACTGACGCTCAAGAACCTTCCCAGCTTTGCATGGCATGGCTCAAGTCTTTTGTTGGAGACCCCTACCACTAGAATTGTGTTTTTCACATAATACATCATTGTGTGTCTATCATCTTTCATCTCTGAACTTCTCTCTCTCTTTTCTCTCTCTCTCTCTCTCTCTCTCTCTCTCTCTCTCTCTCTCCCCCCCCTCTCCCTCTCTCTCCTCTCCCGCTCTCTCTCTCTCTCCCCCCTCTCTCCCTCTCTCTCTCTCTCGTTTAGTCTGAAGCACAACTGGGCTTTTAGGTAGGAGCGTGTTCGAAAGAAGGAGTAACTTAAAATTGATGCTCTAAGTAAAGTATATACACAAATATATATTATAATAAGTTAATATAAAAGTGTTGTAGATTGCGAGGGCCACCGGTTCTTGAAGAGTCGCTCAGCGGGTGTTGAGCACAAGTCGTCCCGCCTGTTAGGATTCGCCGGCCGGACGACGCCATGGAAGGCGATGGCGAAGAGGGTGGGCGTGTTCGGAGCAAGAGGAGGGGGGAAGAGCTGGAGGCCCTGCTGTTGAGTGAGGTCGAGCAGGTCTCCTCGGCGCTAGACGCTGCGCGACGAGTGGATGATGTCATCTGCGCCCTCCACTCCCTGGCCCTCTCCCTCTTCCCCGTCGACTCCGCCATCGTGGAAGGTCCGAATCCCACCCTCCCTCTCTACAGCTCCGCCCGCTTCACTGCCTGGTGTGTGTCCTAGCTTGCCCTGAGGTCAGCGGATCACCTTATTGTGCTTTTGGAATTCCAGGTTGCCTCGACGAGCACCACAGGAATCAGGTACTGGTTATACTTTCTCCGTATGCTGATTCTGGGATCTCTGCGGTTCAAATGAAGATGATTCTCTTACGGAAGTTGACTGCCGATCATTCAGCCTTCTGGAGTCATTCTCCAACATCTTACTGAATATCGCCGGCCTTGCTTTGTTTTCTTCTCTTGTTTTTTCAAATTCTTCTTCTTGATCCATTGAGAACATAATTTCCAAGTTTATGTGCGATTAAAATATTGCATAGGAACTATTTTTTGAGCTCTACTTCTCTAACTTAGTTGCATGCAATTCAAAAGAATTTCCTTTTTTCCCTCCCCTAAAGAAGGACGATTCAATGGATTCATTCATGATCTTTGAACTCCCGTGAAGTCTACAGTGCTTCAAACAAATCCTGTTTGCTTAGTTTTACCATTTGTATTTCAATGGCAAGATTTCCATCAACACGATTTTTTTTGTTGAACTCTGCTCTCTTACCTATGTTGCCTGACGCTCTAGGAAGTTTATTTTCCTCTTCATCCATGGCAATGGGGTGGGGGAGGATATATGGGCCTACTCTTTCCTTCTCCTTTTTCTTTTTGTTTTTTTTGGAAATCGGAGTCAGTATTGCCTTGAATTATGCAAGTATTTATTCTTCTCACATCAGCTTTATACATAGAAACATGCTTATTTTATATATTTTTCTCCAGATCATCTGTGCCCAGGTTCCTGACGAGGTTGAAAGGGATGAACGTTACCATGCTTTTTATCAAGGAGTTTCATTTCCAACAATGGCAAGGATTTTACTTTACAGTAAGTCAGTAGCGACCAATCTTCTTGATGTTTTGATCCCAAGGAATAGAGGCTGGGGTTGCTCTTCAATCTGTCTTCCTGGCATAAATTAGCGATAGAAATGGAAATTTGTATTTCATCGCATAATTTTGATGAATAGAGAACCCTTCTTGGGCTATCTTTTCATATCTTCCTTCCTTTTTTCAGATGCGGCAATTTTTATTTTTTTTAACTGTGGATAAAATTAACAAATTTTGGGCTTTTTACCCAATTTTTTTATCGATGATAGAAAACTTTTGGTAGTCATTTTGCGGTCATTATAAAATCTCCATAGCTCAAGCAGCTTTTATGATATCTCAGTTACCACTGTGGTAGATTTTCTGCTTCTTTCCAGGTGAGTCTCTGCGCCAATAATTGATTTATTTAGGTAGAGGGTGGAATCTCCGATAACCTAGTCATTATGATACCGATTATCTATTCTATGCTAGTGAATTTTGTGAAGGTATGGTATGATGTTGGAGATGGATGTATGCCATACCTAGGGAATCGTTTGTCCTAAATAACTGTGTAAAACTCAGATGTGTCCTCGTATTGTTAAAAATCCAGAGTACAATTATGCATTTTAAGAGGGAAAGAGGCTTGTACTCCAACTCTGATCGTAACAGGGCTATTAAACATTGGAGGATGTAATCCTGATATTGGAGAATAGCACTCATAAATATTTTTTCGTTGTTTACCAGTTAATGAGTTAAGTTGATGAAATAGGATAATTTTTGTTGTCATTTAGGAAACCACACTAACTATTCTTGCACTTTTAAGGAAACATAATATATAATAATATCGGGGGACATGAAAATAGCCCATCTCCATTACCCCCAACAAACTGGGTTGTAAAAGACATGATAAAAGGCTCCCCTGCTATTATTCTAGAGACCTTAGAATAGATGCCCCACTTATTCCTCCCCTTTGTGTTGGAGACTGCTTTGAAAAGGCATCAGTTTCTTTTCTTCCAAATAAATTTCACAATGATGAAATGGACTAAACTATTGTACTCCAGATTTCAAGATTGCAAGGAATTGATGGACTTCTTTAGTTCAAATGTGGAAAATGACTGGTAATGATATTTTTCTTTGACAGATATTGCCTCGAATTGGCTATCATGCTTTCCTTTATCAGCAAGGGAGCAAATTTATGATTCATTCTTTCTCAAAGGACCAGCTTGTGAGAGTGTGGAGGCTTTAATCTGCAGTTTTAGTGCAAGTAGATCTGTTGAAGATGTTAATCTTGATGTTGTCTGCTCCAATATTGAGCGGTATTGACCATCTACAATGCTATTGTCTATTTGAGTTTTATCTGTAATTTTCCTTAAGTTTATATGATATAATTAGCCTTTGGTCAAAAATACCATGTGGAAAAAAAATCAAATAACATTTTCCTTTGGTAATTTATTTTTCATGAAAATTCTGCCCCTCCATTCTATCATTCACATCTCTCCTGTAGTTTCGCAAGTATGATGTTTTTGAAGGTATTATAGTATGTGTGCTGGGCTCAAAAGATTGACCTGTAAGGTATTATACCACTGGAAGGTAGGTGAGAAAATTTATGAAGAGCTGGAAGCATTGGTGTGCAACAATTGAACCTGTTCTTATCCTGAAGAAGATTTATCAATGGTGATCCAGTTGAGAGTAATTTGAATTGAAGAGCAACTTCGCAAGTTGCGATTTGAAGGTTCCACGAATGTGTAGGCCGTGAACTAACGTTTTACCTTTGTGTTTTTCTTGTTTTTATGGGATGTTTCTGTTTGAGGGTTCATGACTAATTTTCTTTGGCTGATCTTTTCTAGGTTGTTGCTACTTTTCTTTTGCTCTCTGTCTTCTTCAGTTTTGTAGAACACTGCACTTTCTGTTATAGTCGATTCTGAGTGGACTGATGTAGTCCAAATACTGTTTTGGACTCCATCTCTTCATGTTTCCCCCTCCAAATATGATTTTCGTAATATTAGCACTTGCTTGAGGGTGGTATCTCAGTTTTGGTTAACTAAACTGGCTCACAAGTCATTAAAGCCGTCTTACACTATGCTTTGCATAACCATTTTCTGTCCATGAAATTTATTTCCATGTATCTCAAGTGGTGAAATCTCTTATTGTAATAAAATTATCACCTTACATCATTCATACGTCATTCCTATGACCTCTTGTTATCATGTGTCTTAGAGTTTATTGCTGACTGGGGATTGGACACGTGTATGGTCTATATTTGTATGCCGTTATTCCTGGGCCCTTTCAAGGAGACGAATCCATGGTCCTTGAGTCACGTTAAATATTTTCCCTATTCAGTGAAGAAGGATATATTTACTGGAGGGTGTCTGGACGAATTCTAAATGTTAAGGCAATGATGTAATCTTTGTTATTGTGGGAATGTTGGGGAACAGTAAGGATTGTCCTTAATCAAAGTTGACTGTGATTGTTTGGATCCTCCTAATGCTGTGAACCTACATATGTATAACGTCTATTATCTGTGCTTATTGTCTATAAACTGCTGTTTTTCTGAAAAATCGGTTGTTATATTTATTCTGTTCTGTATGTGATATTTTCTACTAGAGGTATGCTGCATAGATCAGATAATAATGTATGTATTCGAATTGCAACTTCACAGGATATTGGTACTATCCTTGCTTAAAAATGGAGTGTACAGCATTGCTTTAGAATTTGGAGATTCCTGTGGCAATGAGGAATATGTCTATGGATTTCTCAAACAAAATAGATCAACATCAATATCTAGGATGTCGCAACTTCTTGCATCAGTTCCTGATAAAGCTAGACCACGGGCTCCAGACACACTTTCTGCACAGTATCCTTGAACGGCTAAAAGTTTTTGTATAAAATCGTTATCTTGATCTTTCATCAACTTGGAGCTGCACTCTATAGCTTGGCATATCTCATCATCTTTCCTTCTGGATGATTCCGAGTTTCTAAGTTCCAACGGCACAGCATGGCTGGATTTTTGATTCTGTTGTATGTAATGTATACTAGTTGCGGTTGGCATTTTTATCATTTTTATTTGTGCATCCTTGGAATAAAGTTCATTTCATCTTCCATATAATCATCATCGTCGTCAGTGCAATCCTATCTCAACAACATAGATTCAGTTGAGTTTCAGAAGAAAATATTTTGGACTGGAAAAAAGTTTATCAGTTACTGCCTGATGTGAACTGTGTTGTTGCTCCATCCTCTCCTTCATAAATGATACAATTCTGATTGCAGCATGTAGACATGACAAGTTTGTCATTGGGACTTTGCGAATGCAGTCCTATCTTGGACATGCCAATATCAATCCAACTTGTTTGAGGCGGACTGCATACTCTGTAGAATGTATACTCGAGACAATAGGAAAATATACAATTGCACGACCATCAAACCATTTAGCTGTTTTTAACAAGACATATAACTAGGCATGCTCACAAAAAAGGAACATCAGAAGGTTAGAAGTCTTTTTGAAGTCTTGCACAATTTCAGAAGCCTCAGTCCAGCGGATGAAGCTAATGGACACTAATGACTACCCTTTTTCTTTCATTTGAATTTTTTCTTGACTTGATGTTAGCTTGTTCTTCAAGCATATTGCACTTCAACTTCTGTCTGCAGCATATGAAAAGGCTTTACAGATACATGATAAAAGATACAGCCTGGATGAAGCTTCTGTCAATGGCACTTTCGCATTTATTGGTGAAACATTTGCAAGAATATGTCGACGTGGATCTGCAGGTGCTCTTACACACTAGCATGTGTACTCTGTCTAGTGCAATATAGTTAGCCTGACTCAATAATTGCCAGAATCTGTTGTACGTTAGTCCTTACAAAACTCAAATTGCAAATGAATATCAGGGACCAGCAGGTTTCATGTGCAAGGAGAAGTGTCATAAACCTCAACATTAGTTTGATGGTTTTAAACATCAATAAGATGTATGGACTCAAGAGTTCTTGAATGATCCATGTGCTGGGATTTAGATGTGTTGTTTGCAATTATTTAGTGAAAATTCACCACTTACCTCCAACTACACGTAACAATCTGTTTATCATCATTCTGGGCATTCCTCTTTTACATACTGTATTATTCTAGCTCATAGTTATGTGACTATCAACATTACCTAAAATATAGTGTACTAGGATCAAAGACGTCCAAGCACACCTATTTTCTTCCATCAAATATGATATTTTGTCAAATAATGACGTGTTTGACAGACAGTAATTTTGGTCCCATGCAAAGTTCGGTGAAATATCGAGTAATACTATATACTTTTTGCAGTTTCAGATTCGTCACCAAACTGCGTTCAAAAATTTATGCTGAAAAATTCAATGATTATCTCAAATTATTTGATTTTAATATCTCGAAAACTCATCTGAGACGAAGCTCATATCAAAATAATGTCTGAAATTTTATCCTCATCAGCTATTGAATGCCTGTAACATCTAACCTGTTTTGATTCAGTGGAAACTGCTTTGTTTTTTATACACTTCATTATCCTTTTGGCATAAATTGTTTTTATTTTACATTTTCTGATGATTTAATGTTCTTTGTCCAGATGTCCTGGTTCTTATTGTGACACCAATGATGCTTGATCATGTCCGGAGTTGCTTTTCATCATGTTGTGATTCTAGTGCATCTGACTTGATTGAATCTAGACCTGAGTCTGTATTTTGGTTCTTGCTAATGGAGGAAATAAAAGACTCATATGCTGTAGAAAGGTTGTCTGAAATGTTGCTTCACCGGCTAGCTACGCAAAATATCAAAGATGAAGAAGCATATTGGATACTTTGGATGTTGTTTCACCGGACCTATAAGAACAATGTAGCTACTAGGTATGCTTGCATTTTTTCTGTTCTTTTTCCTCAATTAGTGGTTTTTGGCGACGAGTTGGTCAATATAATTTCCCAACTATTTACAATAGTTTTCATTTTCTTTAACTGGGCCACTTCGGCATACTGAAGTGCAACTTGGTTACAATGCTGCCAGCTAGTAGTTTTATTCACATCACTTATTCTGAATGAGCTTAGCATGGGATTTTTTTCATATTTATCTTTTAACCTTCACATCGATAGGTCAATTATTCTATGCCCTTGCAACTCATTGACAATAATCTTTTTTTTATGATCTCAACTTCTCTCTTTCAACTTCTGTGTTAAAGAAAATGAACGTTGGTAAGTCATACTGAATCTAATGACGGACAAGGCTGACCTCTTCATCTGTGCAGTGGTTTGGGGAGGAAATTCAATCAATGTACTGCATGATAAAGTATGCTGTGGGTGTGAATGTAACGGGGATAGAATGAATGGAGGATAGGATGTTGTTATTCAAGGTGAAAAGAGGCTGGTGCAGACATTCTAGATAGAGGTTTCACCTGAAAAATACTTTTGGGCGGATCCACATAATCTGCGTTCTGAAAAAAGAGAATAGTTATGCAGGAGGTTGAGCTTTTGTGCTTGCAAAACGGAAGTTTTATGGTTGCTATCTCAGTAGTGGGAAAATCACAGAGGACATCTGGAGGTTTATTGATGATGGATCAGCCACTTATTAAGTTCTCCAATTGGTATAACAGATCAATGAATTCGTCTGGTCTTCCATCCTGTCTTGTGAGTTATGAAATGAATCCAAGATGATTATCAAATTCAAACTTGAGTTTTTTCTGAGTTGACATAGATAACCTGGAGAAAAATGGCAGTAGAAGTTCCTACCTCTATGAAAAATTTGAGTTTTGTCTTATGACCTGTGGAGAAGGGGAATCCATGAAGATAACCAGTTTCCTTTATGCTTAATTTAGGCGTCCCCAATGTGGAGACTAAAATGGAATTTTCCTTTCAAAGGTAGCTTCCATGTTTATGCATTGATCCCAATGTGGATTTAATGTTTCTAAAAATTCATGATATGACGTCGATAACACTAAATGAAGAGGGTTTTAAGATGCTGGCACCTTTCTGTGTTCTTGGATGCCTCATCCATGGAAAATGGAGAATTGCTATGAAGTGCCATGTAAGCCATTAGTATAATGCTGACATTTTTCGCTTGGAAGACTATGGCTGTCAATGGAGGGAATAAAAGAGGGGGAAGAAAATAAAAATGAAAAGTAACTGGCAAAGCCAATGTTGTTGGGAGGGATATGAAGATTCGCATCTTCTTTTTTTTTTTCTCTTTCTTTTGTTGTGAACCCTCTTTGGTTTCTCATCTACGCACCCACCCTGCTCTACATATTCTTTTATTGTTCGTATTGCCCATGTTCTATGGTTCCATCGTCACCAGGAAGAAAAAAAAAGAGAGGAAAAACAAAAACCCTGAAAAACCCCACGAAGGCAATAAGTAAGAGGATTGGATCTATATTTCTAATTAGTGGTGTTCCTAACAGTTGGGCCCTCATACTCTGAGCTGACTTAGCATCTATGGTTATTGAAGCTGGAACTGTGCCTGAGTTAGTCAAGGACATATACTGCAGATGTTTCTGCTATTTACCGACAGTGATGACTGATTTAATAGCATCTACTTTATGTCACCCAATTTTCAAGTCTTATTTCTTAGTCAAATAAAGTATCTAACATGTAAGCTGTTGCTTGGTCTTTTGTCCCCTGTGAATTAACTTCATTATATGGGATATTGTTGTCTTTATTATTATTATTTTTTGTTGTGTTGAATTATTTATCCCTTATTAACTTAAGTTGAATGTACATTGAAGATCAATCGCGATTTCACATTTACATTGAATGCATTAAATTATTTTAAGCTCTTCTTAAGCATCATTATTTCTACTCCCAAATGTTACCTTCAGAGACTCATCTTGAAAATTTCCATCAGGGCTATGTTCTCTGAGAAGTTTCTACTCTGGAAAGTGTTTCCTATACGTTGTCTCAAATGGGTTCTTCAATTTTCTGTTCTTGAATGCAACCCATCTGTTGGTACTGAGAGGATGGGGCAAAACAGTGAAAGATTCCTGGAGATTGTGCAGTGTATGATTGGTTTGTGGTCCAAACGTGAATTTGTTCAATCAACCTCCATGGAACAGCAAGCGTGTATCCTTTTTAGCTGCTCACCTTCCCCCCCCCTCTGATCCATTCCAAAATTAAGTTCTTTAACTTGAAACTGTAGACCTAACTGCTGCTGTCGGCTTATCTCTGGAGAGGATGTCAAAAGAAGAGTTAGAATCCACTAAAAACGTGTTGCACTCAATTCTTGAGGGAGTTAGCTGTAATTTCTGAACACAAACCATGAATGATAATCTTCCTACTAGCCACGTTAATTTTTCAAAATTCCCCTCTTCTTTTTTTTTACACAGGTAGGCTTGAGAGCCCAGACAATCTGGTGCGGAAGATGGCTAGTGCTATTGCTCTTGTTTTCTCTAGAATTATCGATCCAAAACAGCCCCTTTACCTTGATGATAGCTTTGGTGATGTGATCGACTGGGAATTTGGGCAAAAGGCTCTGTCCTCTGTTTCTCTTATTGAAACGCCCTCTGGCAGAGAATCGATGAAATCCAGTGAATCGAACAGTGGTGTTAGTCAGAAGAGACACAAGGGTAGGAACAATAATCTAGAACGTGATGATTTTCGTATTCCAGAATCCAGATTACTTGATCCCGATGAAATCATTGACCCAGTGGTGCTGTATGATGAGAGTTTCCAAGTTCAGAGAGGCTGTGTGGATGATGATTCACTCAGTGGGACTTCTGAAGGTTCAAGTGACTCATCTTTAAAGCCATATGACCTGACAGACGATTACACAGATTTGGAGAGAAAGTTCTCTCAGTTGGGTGACATAATCACCGCACTTAGGAAGCCTGATGACCTAGATGGCGTAAGTACTCTTATTTTCTCTAACCTGCTGTTACGAATCAAGGGTGAGTTTTATAATGTGAACGATATTCTCTTCAGGTGGAAAGAGCGCTTGATGCGGCTGAAACCCTTGTGAGAGCATCACCGGATGAACTCCCTCACAGTGCTGGTGATCTTGTCAGTTCCCTGGTCCGCCTCCGTTGCTCGGATCTTTCTGTCGAAGGGGAAGAAGAATCTGCAGAAGAAAGAAGACAAAAGGCACTTGTGGCATTACTTGTGATGTGCCCATTCGAATCATTAGCTGTTCTGAACAAGTTAATTTATTCGCCCAATGTGGACCTGAGCCAGCGCATCCTCGTTACTGACGTCATGACCATCGCTGCCCAAGAGCTCGCTGATGTTAAGACCCTGAGATCAAAGACTTGGCGTGCAGAACTAATATCGCCCATCTCTGAGAGGCAGCCTTGGTTCCTTCCCGGCAGTGGAGGGCCACCAGGGGCAGGGCCTTGGAAGGAGGCCTCTCAAACAGGGCCGTACTGGAGTTGGTCCCATAACTATGAGAGGGAGCTCCCCGCTAAGCCTGGCCACAGGAAGGGGACCTCGCGCAGGTGGAGCCTCAAAACCGCAACGTCACAGGATCACGGGGAGGAGGTGTCGAGGAACAGATTTCCTCTCTATGCAGCTACCTTCATGCTCCCCGCAATGGAAGGGTTTGACAAGAAAAGACAGGGCGTTGACTTGCTGGGCCAAGATTTTATTGTTCTCGGTAAGCTCATCTACATGCTCGGTACCTGCATGAGATGCATGGCTAGGCACCCAGAAGCATTGGCTTTGGCTCCTGCTCTTCTTGATTTCCTGAGATCTCGGTAAGCGGGCTAAAACAATCATACTCTGCTTTTTTTAGTAATCCTTCATAAAATGACAAAGGTCAAACTTGCTTAAAATATATATGGATGGTTAATTTTGTTTTTGAGTTAGATGATTGCCCAGTCCTTGAATTCAATTATATATTGTTTAAACGGAATACTTAGCCTCACCCTTATGCAGGGAGATTTCGTATCATTTGGAAGCATATGTCAGGAGATCCGTTCTCTATGCTGCGTCCTGCGTCCTTGTGGCACTGCATCCGTCCTACGTGGCTTCAGCTCTGATTGAAGGCAACCAGGAGGTCTCAAGTGGGCTGGAGTGGGTCCGCATGTGGGCCCTCCAAACCGCAGAGTCGGACTCGGACTCTGAATGCTATTCGGTCTGGGTCCAACATTTTTGTCTTCGTTTTCTCTTCCGTATTACGCTCTCAGCTTCAATCCAACGCGCCATTTTGTTCACTGCAAAGTTATCGCTATTGTTTCTGGTGCAGATGGCTATGAAATGCCTTCAACTCCACGCCGAGATGACCCTTCAAGCTTCTCGGGCCCTCGAGTCAGCCGCGTGTTTCGCATCAAGAGCAGGCACGGCGCAATTAAAGACGAATGAAATCGTGCTGCCCTTTCCGAGCAGGAGCTTTTAGTTTCCAGAGCATTTGCTGATAATCTCATATTTATTAGGTCTAGGCTTTTAATTATTTTTTGAATTTTTTATTCATATTTACTTATTTTGCCTGTAAATTCTCCATCACGTGGTTGACTCGAGATATTACTCTTTTGGATAAAAAAATATTAATGAAGGGAGGACGCGAAATTGACTAATAGGGGATATTACCTGATTTTGTTCCTTTTTTCCGTAGATTTCTGATAGCAACCATGCTGTTTCGCCTGGTTTTTCTCCTAGTCATGCCCGTTGACCTCCGGGAGTCGCTATAGGGGCTTTGACTTATCGAATTGCTGGCTGCGGGTCCTGAGCGCTTGGACCTGAAAAATGTACGGTCACTGTCACCGCATGGCGGCTCCCCTTAGATCTACCCCATGGAGATTCCCCCTTCTTTTCTGTTCTATGAGAGCGAGAGAGAGAGAGAGAGAGATCACTTTTTATTGAAAAGCCCCGAGCTTTTTCAAGTGTGCGCCTGGAGGAAAAATCTTTAAATATAAAGGTCTTTTACGCGCCTTACGCGCGCCCCCCGCCCCGCACCAATCGCGGGTTTTCGTTCCGCGATCGCCTCCGGGCCCACCTGAGAGAGAGGTTACCTTCTCTCGCCGCCGGTCGCCACTAGCGCAAGCGCAGCAGGAGCGCAGCAGGAGCGCAGCAGGACCACCAACCGCCGGAGGAGGAGGCGAAGAAGTGGAGTGGAGTATAGTCTAGAGGGATCGCGCCCGCGGCCCGCATCTCGCGACGTTGATGGACTACGTGATGGAGGTAGCGTCGCGCGCCCACTTCAGCGGGCTCCGCCTCGCCTCTCCCGACGGCATCCACCACCCGTCGAGCCCCTCCGCCGCCTCCTCGTCTTCTTCGCCTACCGCAGGGAAGTCCTTCCTGTCGTCTCCTATCATCGGTGGTGCCTCCCACGTGGGCTCTCCGCTCGCCGACGATGGGCCCCGGCAGCCGTTCGTCATAGGTCATGCCCCGTCCCCCTCCCATTTTTCGGCCTTGCCGGAATAAACTTGTCTCCTTGGATTACTTCTTCTCTTTCTCTCTTGCTTTCTGACGGATTTGTGGGTTCACGTTTTGAATTGTCTCCAGGCGTGTCAGGAGGCACAGCATCCGGGAAGACAACGGTATGCGACATGATCATTCAGCAGCTGCACGACCACCGGGTGGTCCTTGTCAATCAGGTGAACATGGGTGGTGATGAAAGAAAGGGTTACCGTGATTATTAGTGCTCCTTAGTACGTAGTGCCTGCAAATGTGGCTTCTTTTAAGAAGCTGATAGTACTCTGGGAGACAGAAGACATGACGAAAGAGGATTCGGATGCGTGGCCAGGTGACATGTTGGAGTCTGGTGGATGGAGCTCTCATGAAAGCTATAATGGGAATTAAAATATTTTATTTGAAGAATATGAACGTAGAAAGTAATACGTTAATACGGGGGTTTTTCTACACTCTTACGATTGCTTTATGATCTCGCAGTCAGCATACTGTTTAGTTGGCAATCACTAATGTTAGTGGAGCATTTGAAAAAATTGCTAGTTCCTGTCCTTGGTTGGCAACCATGGTTGATCCATATTTTCGCAAATATTTTAGATTAGACAGCATGATTGTCGAAATCAGATTGAATATTGAATGTGCTTACAATGGGGAAATAAAAAATTTGGCCTTGGTAAATCGTAACTTTCAAAAGGTTAGTGATCTTTCTAGCACGAGTTTTAACTCATTGACGCGATTTTTCCTTTAAAACAGAGTAACACGTGTGAGATGAACAAAACTTTATCTTACCATTGTTATAGAGTATTAGTTTTTGAAATTTTTTGACTGCTTCATTTCGACAGAGGTTTTGTTATTTTGAGTTGCATCTATTTTCAATAGAAATGTCTCTCAATTAATTTTAAAAAAAATGGCTATTTCATTTTTAAGTTAATTTTTCCGTATTTATAGTGTCATTGGTAACAGTATGAGGAAGCCAGTCATCATTTTTTTTGTCTTTGACTACCATCATCTGTTTTTTTAAGCTTCACCACTGATTTGGCGTTTTCAGGATTCATTTTACCGGGGTCTGACAGCTGAAGAATCAGAATATGTTCATGAGTATAATTTTGATCATCCTGGTAATATTCTTAACATTCTTTTTTTTAATGGAAGGGGATATAATTCTTATGCTTCCATGAATAACATTTTTCATTTGTTCTGTTTCTGTTTGTCTGCTCTGTTAATTATGGCAGTGCTGATAAATGACATATTAGTGTTCTTGTAGATGCCTTTGACACGGAACAACTTCTTGAATGCATTGAGAAACTTAGATGTGGACTAGCAGTCAATGTTCCCATTTATGACTTCACCAATCACCGGCGATGTTCTGAGAGTTTCCGAAAGGTAAGACTTGATGGGAGCAATCATCAAGTTTTGTGTGTTTGCCTAGTTTTGGGTGTGTGATTCCTTAACAAATCTGATTTAATGTCTTGATGGCGATTCTTTAAACTCACTGATGTCCTTCCCTTTACCCCCATATTCTCATATTTTTCTTTTTTGCTTTCTAATAACTGGACTGGACCTACATCTATATCGCAGATGCCTCTTCCCCCTTCCACCTTCTCTGGCCACTTTCTAATTTTCCTCTCTCTAGATCTTAGATAGTAGCAAGCTCTCTCTTGTTGCTTCCCATCCGGTTCCTTAGTTTCTTTTATTTCTCCCTCTACAACAATGTGTTGCATCTTTAAAAAAAAATTATGAATGGCTTTTTGTAAACAATATAATTATAGAATTCTACTTCCCTCACTATGAGTAATTGAAACCTTCACGTCAACTCTGTGAAATGGAATTCTGATGTAGTATCTTTAGAGATTTATACCCTTTCTCCGTATGGATAATGCCACTGACTCGTTATGCCTCTGTACTACTTGTTTCTCTACGATTATGTCTAAGAAGTCAGTCCTTTAGCTACTTCGGAATGGTTATGTGCAATTCGGCTCCTTTGTGGTCACGTCCACGTTCATTTATCTTTTAGATGAAAAGTGGTTTTATAGCCTACGACTTTTGCTATGATGTTGAAGGCATGCATACCTGCACTGCAAGCTGCCAACTCTAGCTACTGAAATATTTATATGACATATCTAATCAAGTACAACCTTGCATGCATTTCATTGTTTTCCTATGTGGAAATAACGTGAGTTGGCGTTCCAGGTTAATGCATCTGATGTCATTATTTTGGAGGGTATCTTGGTTTTCCATGATTCTCGAGTACGTAACATGATGGACATGAAGATTTTTGTTGACACAGGTGATTTATTGCTCTTATCTTTTCACTCTGCAACTTAATCAATATTTCTCGAGGAAGGGCAGTAATTTTTTTAGTAGAACGTAGGGATATTTGTACACTGGGGTCTTTTAAAGCATATACATCTGTTTTTCTTTTCATTTATTGCAGACTTAACTTCATCCATTTTCGTAGGAAAAATAAATTCGAAATCAAAACCACATTTTGAAAAGGCACTATTTTTTTTATATTTATCCATTAGTGTATTGATTTACTTACTCTCGTACTTTTTCCTGAACATATTTTTATCTATTGTGGTCAGACCCTTCAGTGCTTAATTCACAATCGTATTATAGATACAACCTTTACTCTTTTGCATCAACTTAGTATCCTTTGTTTTGGCTTTTCACTTACAGAACTCTTAATCTTCATTCTTCAATTATAGATGCTGACATAAGACTTGCTCGTAGAATAAGACGTGACACAGTTGAGAGGGGAAGAGATGTAAATTCGGTTCTTGAACAGGTATGATTGTCTCATTTGATTTTCATTCTTTCTAACCATTTCTGCTCCAGTTAAAAGAAGCCATCAATTTTGCATTCTTGAACATCATAATATATGATGATTGTTCTTGCAACAGGGGTCTGGCAATGATGAGTTTCCTTTGCGAAAATTACAGAATAATTTTCTTTTATGAAAATTGGTGGCACTAATCCTATGACAATGATAAGTGTTATGGATTTATTCGTTATCATTGGTTTGCATTTCGCGAATCATTTCACACTGTCTGGCCTATTTTGATGACCTGCAGGGTGGATGACATGATGCACGACACCTTCCTGGAGAGAGGAGAAAGGTGTTGGACTATTAGCAAGCTATAGTTCATTATATTTGAAAGTAGAAAGCTCAGTTCTTCAGAAAGGTTTCTAGAGTCTGACGGCAGATGAGAACCATTGTGAACATGAGCGGTCATTAAGATTGCACGTGCAGGCACTAGGATGTGTTCTGGGTTTTATGGCGCATATGGTTTCATTGTTCATTCCTAGACTGCAAGGATGGGCCCAAAGTAGATTCTTTAGAGAATATCCTCATCCACTTATATGAGAAATAGGAATAGCTTCATACGGGAAAGTACATTTTTGGGACCTAGCTCCGTGCTTGTATTTATGGAATGACTTCATCGATGAAAATTGGTTCTATCCTCCTCTTATGAAAGAGTTGTTATTGCCTATATCATTTTGATCATCTACTATTTGATCTTGTCTATTAATAGTGTATTATACCTTGTATTATCTCGTTTAAGTATCAAAGCAAAGATTGATGTCCACTGTGAATCTTTTCATCAATTTGGCTATGCCGTGTGTTTAGTTAATTAGCATGTGAATATTGATGCTTCCTGGACATGACATTATCAAATTTCTCATGCAGTACGCTAAGTTCGTGAAGCCCGCATTTGATGACTTTGTTCTACCGACAAAGAAGTATGCTGATGTTATAATACCTCGGGGAGGTGATAACCACGTTGCGATTGATTTGATTGTCCAACATATTCGGACCAAGCTTGGCCAGCATGATCTATGCAAAATATATCCTAATGTTTATGTCATCCAGTCAACATTTCAGGTTTCGCTCTCATGTTTCCCTATTTCTTATCCGTATGATCAGTACCAGTTTTTGACAACCTTTTATAGTTCTCCATCACAATCTGTTCCTGCTGTAACCTGGACAGATCAGAGGAATGCATACTCTTATTCGTGACAGGGACATAACAACACCTGACTTTGTCTTCTACTCTGATCGCCTTATTCGACTGGTATTCCTTCTTTTGTATTATAATTTTCCTAATGTCAGTAGATGATAAGTTAGGAACCAAGTCCCTCTTTGATTGTATCTCATCCCGGTGGTGAATTCCTGTTAGGTTGTAGAGCATGGTCTTGGTCATCTGCCATTTACTGAGAAGCAGGTGGTTACTCCGACAGGTTCGTAGGTGCAAATGTGTGGTTTATTATGTTTCATTGTAGAACTGTGTAATATTTAAATTTGGCAATTAGGATTTTGAAGACTGTTCTTTTCATTGAAGGAAATGATACTATTATGTTCTTCTGCTGGAATACCGCACTTTCACATTCCCTGATTATGGGATTGTTCCATCAACCCCTTTTTTGGAAGACGATCTGTCAATGACCAGCGAACTTCTTTTTCTCTTGGATGTTAAAATGATATCCTTGACTGTCATTTTATTGTACGGTGAGAGCATTTTCCAAATGATGCACTAAAATTTTCTTCTCAGGTTATCATTAGTTTGAGGTGGCTGTTTTACTGGTACACTTGACGTTTCTCTTTTTTCTAAGGGAAGAATAGTCTTTTAGGTAATCAATGGAAGTCTTACAGAAGGTTTCTTCTTGCAAGGTCAAAGTAGTCTTGAAAGAGGAAATTCTTTCTGTTGGCATTTCTAGATTCCATTTCATATTTGTGGTATGAATGGTCCAAAGTTGACACTTTCCTCTGTTCTCGCTGACCTTTTCACTTCCCTGACTCCATTTTCTTCCCTTTCCGTTTGAACCCAAAGCATTTATTTTAGTTCCTTTTCTCCGTTCTTCTTCCTCTTCTCTTCTATTTTCAACTGGAAATCATAAAGCTTATTTCTATGATCAGGCTAATTATATAATTAAATTTCATTTCCCTTACACTTACCACCATTCTTTTCATTTCTTTTCTCCCCTTTTATTCATTTCTATTCTAACAGTCCATATTCTCATTCAGTTTGTCTTCACCAATACGACATCATCTCAGCATATCTCCCTCCGGTCATGCTGCTTTTAAAATTTGAACTGGGAGCGTGAGTGACAAGATGCTTTTACTTGATATATATGACAGTCACAGTCCACAGAACTTCCAGTAGTCAATTTCCTTAAGCTTTGAAACGCAAGTGAAAAGCTAAATTTGAAATTTTGATCCTGCAAAGGTTAGTCCAGTATTTCTGGTCCATGTTTTGAGCCAAAAGGTCTCAAAGTTTTAAATCCTAGGCCAAAAAGGTTTTGAGTGGAGCATGGACCTTGAGGCCTGAAAGATGCTTGTGACTGAGCGAAGCAAAGCCAGAAGAAACTCTGGTTGAGGCCCATTGTAATATTGATTTGTAAATCAAATCCTTTGTTTGACTTTAGTTCATGCCGCAATTTTCCTTGGGATGGGTGGAGCTCAGGAATGAGTTCTAATGCAGAAAGCCAACAATTAGAGGCATCAGGGGGGCAACACCTTTGACCTATTGTTAAACTTTAAATAGGTAGGACCTTGCAACTGCTCCTCTGAGCAATGCCATGGAATTGAGAGCTCAAAGTGGGTCATTCTTGGGAAGAAAAACTTGTGATGCTGGATGAACCAAAAGCTGGGTTGTAGTGCCCAACTGCAAACAAATCTAGGACACACAAATGATATTGTCCTTTTAAGAAGGCAGGACCAAACTGGATGACATTATTTGTTTCGTATTTGTCTGTCACCATAAAAATGAATTTACATAGTTGAGTGAGTGGATATTTTGGTGCTGTTATTTTAAGGAAGAAGCACCAAGCGAATGCAACCCCTCAATGAAAAATCACCAGGAGACTTTCCCTTTAGTTTTGAAAGGGAAATTATATATGACAATCAAGGGGATATTCTATCACTTGCATGGGCATTGGTGAGGATGACCTCCACCCCAAACTGGCTAGGAACATCAGCGGACTAAAGAAAGGTTCAGAAATTTTTTCATGATATCCCAATGCGCCAGTTAAACCACAGAATTTTCTTCAAGGGTTTCAGCACACAAAGATCCTTGAATTGTCCCATCATATTTTAATAATTCCTGAAAAACCAGTGTGTGTATCCCAAAAATAGCTCTTGAAATAATAACTCTTTCTTCCTTCAATATTTGATCCAGTTCAGTCAATCCTGTCCAGATTGGGCCATTCTAAATTTTCTGATTTCGAACCTTTTCACTTTTACTGGTTTATAAAGCGTACTTTTATCCAAGCACGTGCATATTTCTCTCTTTTGACCAGCATATACCAACTTCTGTGCGATCGTCGAGATAAATCTATCCCTTTAGTTGATTCATTGATGTTTTCTTCATTAGGATCTAATTAGTTTTACATGTGCATGCATACGTCGTGCTCTTTATTTCTTTATATTTATGCTTACTTTCTACGTTGCTCCCAAGAAATATAAAATTCCTTTACTAATGGTACTTTCACTATATATATGACTGAGATTAGTACTCTACCGCTTGCCTGACTTGCTTTCGAATCCTACCTATCATATAAGTTGATAGTGAAGTTATTGACCTACTATGTATTCAACCATGCTGTCTTTCAGGGTCAGTGTACACTGGAGTTGATTTTTGCAAGAAGCTTTGTGGCGTGTCCATCATTCGAAGGTGATTTTTTTTCCACTTGTTACCATTCTGAACGCATGTCACCGCTGACTATGCCATGTAACTTTTAGTTCAAGATACATTGTAATTGTAATGTGGCTGGTGAGAGCTTCTTTCTTTCCAGATACATCTGAAGGATCATGGATTCTTTATTTTGATTTTCGTATGTAACTTTTGGCTAACCTAGTCTAAATGTCTAACTCTTACCACAAAAAGCTGGGTCACAGTTGGATGGACTCGTGTCGCATGAGCTGTATTGATAACCTTCAAAGGTGTTTTTTAAAAAAGATGGTATTTTTATGAATGTCAGAGGTGTATTTTAAAAAATTAGTAAACAATCCCTGATACGTAAATATGATGCTAGCGACAAGTTCATGCCTTTTTGGGCAAAACTAACTTTCCAATTCACTTAGACACTGTTTCTTTTTCATGCATGAAGATGAGTCCCAATCATAACTCGTGTACTTCGTGTTTTTGTGGCAGTCTTTTAAGCTGTTACATTTTGTGTTATCTTTTTTGTATGTGTAATGATTGTAGTTTGTAGATTGCTTATATTTTGGGAAACAGTTCCTTTCATGGAATGACGCTCATTTTTCTGTTGATTGCAGTGGAGAAAGCATGGAAAATGCTCTACGTGCCTGCTGTAAGGGAATAAAAATAGGAAAAATATTGATTCATCGTGATGGGGATGATGGGAAGCAGGTAAGCATTTGATTAGTTCTTTCGTGCTACATGAAAAGCTGATTATTCATTTTTTTTTACTATGATTGTTATTTTTTTCCCAACCAGCTTATCTATGAAAAGTTACCTCAAGATATCTCTGAGCGGCATGTTTTACTTCTTGATCCCGTTCTTGGCACTGGTGAGTTCCATGTGTCTGACAAACACTTCCATTTATTTTTAAAAAGCTATTTCAGCGAGACTTTTTATTTTAAGAATTAATAGAACGTCCAAAACCTATGTTGTCACTATTCTAAATGCGTTTGAAACGGGCTCATTGACTACTGATACGTTTGATGATTTGTAAGTACATTCTGAGACACCATCAACAGTTCTTTCCAACCGTTAAATTCTTCAGCAATTATCTTTAGTTAAGTGGCATAATTGATCCACGTGCTGATAATGGGTCTGTTCTTGCGTGATTAATGTGAGTAACTGCAAGAATTTATAGCTAGGGCAATCATTTTTTATTTTTACATTTCATAGCTGGAACTCGTGAATTAATGCACTTTCCTACGAGTTCACAGCCTTTTGGGTCCCACATTTGGGACCTTCAAGCTAGAATCGTATATCTTAATAGCTTTTTTAGAATGGTGTAAGATACCAATCATGTTTATTCTGGGAAAAATATTCCTTGGACAATGATTAACTTAGTTTTGGATGTTTCTTGGTGATTTTCTTGCAATGCACAATTTGATCAGAAATCTAATGCAGGAATACCGAGAAATAAAGGGATCTGCAAGATTTGGATATCTTGGTTTTATTCAGATATCTTCAAGTCTTGATCGTTTCCTTTTCTTTGCGGTTAGCAGCAAAGATTGTGGCCATCTGATATTAATTGTTTTCATACATAAAAAATGAGACATCATTAATTTCTTTTTATGATCGTTATTAATATACTCTTGTATGTTCTTCCACTTGCATGGAAATAGTTTATCAGTTATCGATTAGCAATGCATCCTAAACAGCATAAACAGAGGAATGCGACCTCACTTTATGCATATAACTTGATAACTCTAACTAAATTATGCGTGGAAGAAAATGGGAAATGGATTTGGCCCCCTGTTGGATAAAGAGTGTACCCCCAATTTTTTTTCCCAATTTTTAGTACCATCATGACACAGGAATTTTTTTGTCTCCTATTATCGCTCTGGATTTCTTCATCTACATGCTTCACAGCTATATATATATATATATATATTCATGCTGCTACCACACATCTTGAATGATATTTGGAGATTATATGGTCGCAAGTTACCAATTCTTTTGATCACATGACTGTTTGATTGAGTACACAAAAAATGGCATTGTGTGTAGGAAACTCCGCAAACCAGGCGATCGAACTTCTCATACAGAAGGGAGTTCCTGAGAAACGAATAATCTTCCTCAACCTCATCTCAGTAAGGCCCCCCTACCATGATTAGGGCAGTTCCTCAGACGCCCCCTCTTTTCAATATCAGCCTCAGTGATGTCTCTCGCTTGATGGTGTGATGAATCCAGGCACCCGAAGGTATCCACAGTGTCTGCAGGCGATTCCCTTCCTTGAAGATTGTCACCTCGGAGATCGATGCGGGGCTGAATGAGGAGTTCCGTGTCATCCCTGGTCTGGGTGAGTTCGGTGATCGATACTTTGGCACCGAATGATTGAGAATTCTTTTGATTACAATCCTCCAACAAGTGGTGGCGCACTCATCTGGGTGAGGACACTTGTCATTCGACGAGGGCAGCTCGAGGATAATCCCATATGGGAACATGCAGTATTTAATCCCTTCTCTTCTCACGGTTGTACACTCGGCTAAAACCCATCTGTATCATTTTTCCATGGTGCTCCCACTGGCTGAAACGCATCTTTATCTTGGTCAAAACCTTGTGCAACTTTGAACTCTGTTTCCTGTGCTGGCCAGAATCACTTCATCTCATTCTAATCCTCTTCTAAAAGGAGGATTAAATACGATGGAACCAACTTGGTATGATTCCGAGTAAAATATTGCGATCTTCTTTGTTCGGCGTTTCAAATCAGGGCCCGGCTACTGTTGAAGGCAATAATAACGTGATTATTTTATTATGGGAGAAGTTTATGGGTTTTAGATGGGGTTTTCAAATATTATTCCTATCAGTGAATCGTCAATATAGCAGAAAATGATAATAAAATGTGAAGGACCCCTTCTGCTTCCAAGATTTCATCCGATATTGAAATAATTCACGATGCTAAGAAGGTACTTCTTATACTTTTTCTTCAGCCTGATCCGTGTAGGGTTGACCAACTCCCATCAGCATTGACATTTGTGTTGAAACGCGATCATTTAAAGGGTTCCTAGCCCTACACTGTATAAGTTGCAATCTTCAATCTGAGCGGCAAACATGAAGTGGCTACCTTTTATTTTTATATTTCTTTTGTTGGGTTCAGTGGAAAGTTCACTGCAGTGAATATGATTCCTTTCCTTTCTGTTTCAGTCGGAAATTGCTAAAAGAGAACATGCTACACAAAAGACATGAAGAGTTGTTGCCACGAGGGAATGAATTCCAGAACAAGTAAAAATCCCAAGGGTGCTTGTAGATGTAGTAAGCTTGGAGCTCAAGGAAAACCGAGTGTAGGGGAAGGGCAACTCTGGAATTCGGTGAAGACTGACTCAGCTGAAGCCTTTGACATGCCCTTGCAAAATCGGCATAATATTAAGGATAAGAACAGGAATGATGGGTCCAGGCATGTGGGAGCCCTCTTTGTAAATCTTCCCACTCTCTGCAGAAACTATTTATCTATCTATCAATGAAGAGAACTTATTGCTCTTCCCTGGTTAACTGAATTTAACTTTTAGGGGCTGGGAGAGCTTCCCTCTAGCTATCTTTTCTAGGAAGCCCTGTAATTTACCACGCCAAGAACAGGCTCGCATAAAAAGCAAACCTTACTAAAAAAAATCTCTGATAGCCCCAAGTAAAAATCTCTATTTAGGAATACATCACTGGAAATATTTAATGATACTCATCACTTGTGCATATTGGGATATCTTCCATTCCCTCATTACTTATTAGCTCCTGAAATCGTGCAACAAGTGGTCCTAAAGTTAGGACAGCTACTGGCGGGCCGCATGATGACACAAAGGGAGCACTAAGTTCAAGCTGTTCTTTAATGAAGTGTCTATCAATGTCTATATGCTTAGTTTTATCACATCAGGTTGGATTATGTGAAATGTTGATAGAACGTTTATTATCACAATGCTGATATTAGATTTATACGCCCACATCTTGCAATCCTAATTCATAGATTCTATGAGCCATGGCCTAGAATTCGGCTTCAACACTTGATCTACTAATCACATATCTTTCTTCCTCTTACATGTTACAAATTACCTCAAAGGAACATATAATAACATGTAATGGACTTTCCATCAACAAATCATCTTACATTGTCTACGTCTGTATGAATTTCCAAGGTTAGCTCTCCATCTTGTTCAAAAACAGTCCTCTCCCCCCTATGGTTTTGAGATAATACAGCATTCCACGATCAGTTTGCAAATGCTCTTCATTAAAGTCATGAATGAATTGACTTACCTTGCCTCGTATGAGATAGGTAAATTGATTTCTCAGCCAACCTTTGATTGCTTCCTTCATCAACAGCATATCCTGTTGATTTTTCGCCCAACACTTGAATCTGAAACATAGTTTCTTTGAGAAATGAAGATTCCTCGTTTGAAGCAGACAACAATCCCAAGGAAACATTTTAGGTCTGCAAACTCTTTCATTTCAAATTCACAGTCTAAGAGATCTCTGACATTCCTTTGTTTGATTTTATCATTTTTAGCAACAACTATATCATCAAAAAGAAAGTATAAAGGTCACATCACCTCCCTTGGTAATGTTTAATAAATAGTATATGATCTCCTTGACCCATATATTCTCCTTGCCTTTACCTATATCACATTTCCTCTCATTATGCTGCATAAATTTTTTAAATCCCTCAAGCCATGTTTGAGGTAACTACTTCAACCAATATTTCTTTTGTCAACACACATTATTTGACCTAATTTTTCCATCAAAACCAGGTGAAAATCTTCATGAATGCTCCTCTCAAATCCATGATGAATATTTTCCTTATATCATTCTCTCAAATACATAATTTGATACCATGAAGACCTTATATTCTTCTCTGCTTATAGAATGTAACGTTTACAATATTATAAGACTAGGATAATTTTTTTCCTACAATTTTTAAAATTCCTAAAAATCAAGCACATAAAAAAAAGGCTCACATAAAAGGAAAGTGAAAAATATGAATAAAAAATAATTCCAAAAAAATACCAGATACTCTAAAGTACTTGGAAGAACATATATGATATATACTAATGGATATAGTTCTGAAACTATCTCATGATGTTCATCAATCTAGAAAACTGGTACAACCCCCATTCACACCTGTCTCCAATTGCCTCATCAAGTGACCCTTAAAGGATTTGGGTTAAGTATTGAGGGGAAGAGGAGGGGGACTTTTGAGAGATCGGTTGTTTAAGGAGTGGGAGAGGCTACAGCCTTTCATCTATTGTTGTTGACTTAGGCTTTTGGTAGAACCTTAACCCTTGGTTTTATATCTCTAAACCCTTATTCCTCCATTAAGGTTCTAGTTTCTCTTACCATGTTTGTGGTTCATATAACTAGTGTTAGAGCTAAGTTCTGATTATCATGACTCCAAAGCTTAGAGAATGAGTCAAACCTCCTAGAGTCTAGAGTCGAGTCCATAAGGAGTGACTTAGAAATGGGTTTGGCTAAAACCAAGAAGGCAATGGACAACATCACCAACATGGTAGGTCATCTCTTATAGAGGTTTGACTAGATGGAAGATTGTGTTTTCACTATGGAAAAGAGGGAACCTTCTTAATGACAACAAAATCACATTAGGGTCTCATCTCCTCTTATAGGGCTGCTAGAGGTCAACTCACACCCTTTCCTAAGTGAGCGTTACAAAGTCCAAAGAAAGTTATTTATCCTAAGTTTTGACAAGGAAAACCCTAAATCATGTTATCACACACTAAGCTCTATTTCAAGGTGAACAATGTCCTAGAAGAAGACATTTTGAACGAAGGGAACATGAGTCTAGAAGGGGATGTGCTTGGTTATAGTATCACTAGAACAACAAAAGGTATCCTTTTACAGGATGGTAAGATCTCCAACTATAGCTTCTTAAATGTTTTGAAAGATGCTCTAAGGACAACATTGTCAAATAATTTTTGATATTCAAGCAAAATGGTTCCATAGCCAAATATAGATGAGATTTTGATGCATTATTAGCATTTCTAATAGGGATTTTGGAAGAAGTCATGGAAAATAACTATGTCAAAGGGTTGAAAGGTGAGGTGCAAGCAAAGTTGAGTATGAACAAACTAGAAGGGATGTGAGAGGTTATAGACCTTTTACTAGTGGCTGGAGCCAAACACTAATGGCACTAGTTAGCTTGGAGCCCATAGCTACACTGCTCTCAGAAACCTTACCCTTCATCATACTTGGGGTCAAGACATAAGGAGAGGGACTGAAATACATATCACCAAATTCTCAAACCAACAGGGAGAGAGATGAACAAACCAATTAGTTCAAGCTACGATTCTAAAGTTGGGAACTCAAGGTTCACTTTGGGGGGACAGAGGTCCAGAGGCAGAAGAAAATTAAATGTCACAAGAGCAGAAGTGTAAGAAAGGAGAGAGAAAGGCCTTTGCTACTATTGCAATGAAAGCTATGGGCCTGGTCATTGCTGCGAGTAAATACACATAATTGTGCATGAAGAAGACCAAAGTGTGGGATAATACAATGAAGGTGAGACTTATGCTCTTGAAGACAAGGAAGAAGAGTTCTCATAGATGGCAAAACTATCACTGAACTCAATTTTGGGCTTCACCAATCCAAGGACTACAAAGATAAAGGAAGAGATCAAAAGAAGACTGGTCATAGTACTAATCGATTCTGTGGTTACCCACAATTTTATTTGTGAAGAGCTAGTGAAGGAGATGAAATTACACTTAATTGAAACTCCTAGATATGGTATACTATTGGGCAATGGCCTTGTAGTGAGAGGTCTCAAAGTCTATAGGAGAGTCTCATGTCTTATCTAATGTCTAACCATCATGTAGGAATTTCTACACCATAGCATTGGAAACCTCAAAGGTTATATTAGGGATGAATTTGCTTTGAACCCTTGGGATGACCCATATCCATTGGGTGAAGCTAATTATGAAGTTCTCTATGAAGGATGTGGTAACCATCTTTAAGAGGGATCCTCTCTCGTGCATGGGTGTGCCTAAAATCGTTGACCAAGCTACTAGTAGGAGGGGTAGTGACCCTAGAGCTGCATTAGGTCTCTCCTCCAAAGGAGACTCACCCCCCTATGCCTAAATTTTTCCTCCAAGCTAGAGAAAAGTCTTGAGGCCGACTTCTTGGAAGTCTTCAACCTCACCCACACACTTCCCTCAATATAGAGCATTGCCATTCAACTCATCAAAGGATCTAGACTAGTAAATGTTTGCTCTTTCAAATAATCTCATATTTAAAAAGATAAAATAGAGTGGCTGGTTTAGGAAATGTGCTGTTAGTAAAGAAGAAGGATAAATGAGGATGATTTTACATGTCGATACCCTTGGTTTCAACACTTATATTGGAACTTG